AATGCAACAATAATATCATCCACATAGAAGAACAAAATGATTCCATCTTTGATGAGACAATATGGTTCATGTTTCACTGTGTGGAATCCCATCTCCACCAGTATCTTTGTCAATTCTCTCTGCCATAGCAAGGGAGAAATCCTGAGTCTATACAAGGCCTTGTTGAGTCTGAGGAGTATTCCTGGCTTCCTGTATCCTGGAGGCATCTGCATGTAGACTTCTCTGTCCATGGATGTATGCACAAAGGCATTGGTAACATCATATTGCTTGAGTTCCAGGTCAAAGTGTGCTGCAATGGCCATCATCATCCTGAAGGATCTCCCTGCCAGTGTTGCAGCGTATGTGTCCTGAGATGTGATGTTTCTCTGTTGATCTCCTCTTACAACCAGGTGGGCCTTGCATTTATCTAGTCTGTGGTGCTTGTCAAATTTGTAGACATATACCCATATGCAGTCCAGGATTTGGTGACCAGTATCCTTCACTTCCTTGCTTGAGACTTCAGTCCAGGATTGTGTAGGGATATGGGATCTGAGATGTGCTCTTTCTGCTTCCTCAAACTGTTCCCTGAGCTCATGGTCCTTGAGTTGCCAATGGTGCTTGGGTGGAGGTGGTAGTTGGTTCCTATGTGGTTTCATCCCCTGAGCCAGCAACCTCTTCAAGTATACCTTGTCAATGGGCTTTCCTTCATAGGATCCAATATTTCCTGCTTGAGTTCCAGCCATGAATGCAGCATGCCACGGTATTGTTTTGGCGGTACCAGTGTCTTAGAGTGATAGATTCTGTTCATCAGGTCCTGAGAGAAGTTGGGCTAAGAGTGTCATGGGTGGTGGTGTATCAGGTGGAGTAGGGTGTGGACACATGATCTTTCTTCCTTGATGGTATCCTGGTTGGTCTGGTTTCTCTTGATTGTCCTGAGAAGCATCTTCAATGGTTTCATCCTCATAGAATGACTGGGTCTCTTGTTCACCTGATGGGGGAGATGGAAGTTCCATACTCTTCATCCATCTAGCAATCTCCTCAGTGGTGCTATGCATAAGGTTATCTATGATTTCTTCCTCCTTGCCATTGAACACAGTGTGCTCATCAAACACAACATCTCTGGTGTTGATGACCTTTCCCAGTGTTGGTATCCAGATCCTGAAGATGTTAGAGGACTGGTACCCAACCAAGTATCCAATCCATGACTTGGGATCCAGCCTCTGTAGTCTTGACTTTTCTCTGTGGGTATCATCAGAGAGTGCAAATGCTTTGCATCCATAGGCCTTGAGGTGAGAAAGGTCTGGCTTCCTGGACAGAGTTGGGATTCCATTTTGGAGAGCCACTGGTGTGAAGAACTTCTCATATGGGGTTTTTGATCCATTGGAGTAGAGAGGGGTCCTGTTGAGGAGATAGATAGCTGCTCTGACTATCTCTGGCCAAAGGTTGAAGGGTAGATTAGCATCCAGCCTGATTGCTCTTGACTTTTCCTTCACTGATCCCCCTGGTCTCTCTGCTCCTCCATTCTGGGCCTGTGTGTCTGGGGCAGATGGTTCAACCTTGATTCCCAGTCCTAACAGCCACCGGTATACTTCTTGCTTGACTGTGACTATCTCATTGTCTGTCTCAATGACCTTGACTGTGATATTCAATTGCTTCTTGAGGAATGAGATGAGGATTCCCAGCTGTTTGATGATTGACTTGGCTGGCCTGTTGTCCTTGAAGTAGAAGTCCCATGAGTATCTTGAGTTCCTGCAGGTGACTAGTATTTGACTCTTTTTCTTGGTGATGCTTCCTTCCTCATAGTCATGAAAGTCCACAGCAAGTCTCTCTCCTGGTCCTTCATCATTGACTCTTGGGATTCTCCTGATTCTCCTCTTGCCTTTGGCTCTTCCATATGCATTGCACTGAATAGTGGTGATTCCTTTGATCTTCACCCCCTCAGCTTGCTGGACAAGGTATTCTACTGCTGATGGTCCTGGGTGTCCCAATCTCTTGTGCTATAATATAGCATCTGCTTTCTGTGGTGATCTCTTGATTCTGGACTTGATCCTTTGATTGTAGAAGGTAGATTGGGATGGATCATGGTGCTGGATGATCCATTGATTGTGTCTGTCCTTGAGGTAGGTGATTGGGGTATTGTCCATGAGCCTGAGGAGTATAGGATCACTCTTGTTGTCCCACCATATTCCTTGCAGCCTGAGTTGTCTGAATGAGACCAGATTGCATATGATGTCTAGGCACAGGGCCATATTGGTGAAGTGAAGTTTGGTAGACCTATTAGGTCCTATGAGGTGAAGGATCAGTGAACCATAGCCTTAGATCCATACCTTTAAGTTGCCAGCCTAGATGCAGTCACCTGGCATTGGATCATGGACACAGTAGAGTTGTCCTCTATCATTTGTGATATGATAAGTAGAACCTGAGTCTAAGATGAAACAGTGTTTCAATGGGTAGTCAGAGAAATCTGCTCTGAATGATGCTATCACAAATGCAGCATTGATTGCTGATATCTTCCAGCCTTCAAGTCATTCCTTCCATGCCTCAGGTTTGGGTGTTTGTTCCTCTCTGAACCTGGATATCTTGGAAGACCTAGCATTCCTTAGTCCTCTTACTATCCCTTGTAGATCAGCATCAGATGAAAGTGCCAGTTGCATCATCTTAGCTGTCCAGGGTCTGGGATTGAAGCCTTCAAGAGCTTTCTCTGGAAATATATAAAAGTAATCCTTGAGTGAATGGGATAGATCACAAGCAGAGCATCTGCCCCCAGCTGCTACTGGTACTCCATATCTTCCATGTTTGAGCTGCTTGGGTATGGCTTCAAGACTTTGTCTTTCTTCACCAACTCTATGCCCTTGGTACCTCTTCGGTCTCCCAAAGGACTTTGGCTTCAGGGTCTTCCCCTTCTTCGCCATGATTTCAGGGTCTTCCCCTCCTTCACCTTGATGTGGAGTATCAGCAGCATAAACAGCGTCCTGTCTGCTGCTCTGGATGGGCATGCTATGCTCAGAAGGGGCAGGTGAGGTGTCACCAGTGAAGAATGTCCCCCTGTGGCTTTTGTTCTTCACTGGGTATTCAGCTTCCATGTACATCTTGAACTCTTTCATCATTTGTCTCCTAGACATCCTTGGATTCTGGAGTTCTCTTCTGAACTGTGATGTCCAGATTGGTGCAACTTTCTGCACTGCAGCCAGGAAGTCCTTGATTACATCATGAATTCTTAGAGTTTCAGAGATCTCTTCAGCTTCAGCTTCAGTGGCAGCCTCATCATACTCTACAAGCCAACCTTCCCATGAGGTGGTATATCTCATAGATCTTAGAGCCGCCAAATAATGGTCCCTGGCCTTGTCTCTTTCCACATCATCTTCAATTCCAACAGTCGTTCTGAGAAGTCTGATTTGCTCTCTCAGTTGAGTATCAAAGTAGCAACATATCTTCTGCAGATGCTTGGAGACAGTGGATTGGATGTGTTTGACCAAATCTTTGCGACTTGCTTGTTCTCTCTCCTATTCCCTCCATTCTTCCTTGTATGCCTCCATCTCCATCTTCCAGTTTTCTAAATCATCTTTGTATGCCTTGAGACCTGAAGTTGATAGATCTGACAGGAGTCTGGATGGAACATGGTCGATTGCTTCATCGTTCGTGGAGGTAGCTTGGACAGATTGTTGGGTGTGGCTTCTGGTGCTCATGGTATTAGAAGAGGCATTCTCAATAGTGGGGATAGCTGGGAGTGCAGGCTCATAGTCTGAGACTTGAGGCTTGAGTGGAGCAGTAGGCCTTTCTATGAACTTCTTAAATCCATCAGGATCAATCATATCCCAGATGTCAGCTGCATCTGCCTTGGATTGTAGTTAGGTGAACCAGGAGGTCTAGTCCTTGCTGGTAGCTAGGGTGGCTTGAGTTTGGTTGTTGATCGTGTTGGTAGACATGTTGGTAAAGGTAGTGAGACTCTTAATTGTCAGATTTGATGATATCTGAAGATGTCACGGTGACAGAAAGATTGAATAAGGATGGGTTGACTGATTGTATTCTGGTATGTGCTTGTCTGTATGAGGCTGGGGCCTGACACCGGTTTTGATGTTCCTTCTCTGGGCACCAAGGCTGTGCAGGACACTAGCCACTGCAGAATCACTAGCCACATGTCCTCAGACAGTACCGGTACAGATAGTTTCTCCCAGTCCTCCTCTCCAGTCCTAGATGGGATATCCATAAACTGGCTTACCATCTGATAGATTTAGATGAGGCAGAGGTCCGTAACAGTGAGCTAGATAAGGCAGAAGAAGCTGAGATTTCAAGTGGATGGGACTCTGAACTAGATGCGGAAGGGGAGATAGATGAGGAGTTCTGAACTTAGCTCATTTACTATATATTTTATGCAATTTTGTGAGCATTCACTCTGAGCTTGTGCCGCCAAGAAACTACCCCTGCAAGCCTCTCAGCTCTAGCGTGGCTCCTGCGGAATAAACCTATTGGCAACACCTCCGTACTACTGGGAGAGACTGTGTACACCCGAGCGCCCGGCACCTGGGCCCTTGGCCCTGGCACGCACTCGACGGATGGCCCAAGCACGCCTAAACCGGTTTAGCCCCGTCATCCCCATGCCACCAAGAAGGTAGACTACTGTGAATGTTTTGGTAAACCTGAAAGCCCCCCAAGATTCCCGTACTCGCCCATGTGCGTTCTGGAACAGGCTCCATCCTCGGTCATGCGTGCTCGGAACCTACTCTGGTACCTACTTGTAGTCTACTACCCTAGGGTAACCTCCGATCTCAACAGAAAGACGACGGAGGGGAGGAAGCAAGAGAAGAAAGGAAAAGAAGAAGAAGAAACACAGAAAAAAGACCTCGATGACAAAAGCAAAACCTGGCAAACCTTAACCGCAACACGGCCCCGACCCACTCCACATGTCATTGCCCGAATCCGCATGCATTGCGAGGTAGGCACGTGCCGCGGCTGCATACCTACCACCTAGGTAGCTGGAAATACTAATGCTGAGGGAAACAGAGTCGTGGTGCTAGTGTGGTGGACCAACTAATAATAATCTCGTCCTACGGCGGCCACTACTGTACTGACAGTGACAATGGAACAGACGGCTCCTCCTGTCCAGATATGGAGATGCGCCTACTAATATGAATCCAACGGTGGATATCCTTCCACCCAGCTACATCCCACAATGTAGAAGCACCTCTACCTGCCTATGTACACTCTCCATGCACCGCATATCCTGTCGCTCCACCCGGAAGCGTCCGAGGCGCATGCATCCTCTGCCACTGCCATCCACCACAACGCCACATCGAAAATCAATCAAACTCGAGGAGAAGGCATGAGACATCAATGAAAAGGGAACCACATCACAGAAGCGAATATCTCATCATCTATCTATACACCGCATCTGTATCGTCCCATGCCGGACTTGACAACCTGCAGACCGGAAACCTTCCTAATTGCCCACGCCGCCCATCGAGCCTCCCAGCAGCTAACCAGAGAACCTGAACCGCGAGGCCTCAAGCCGACCCAGTCCCTCGCGCGGCGCCACATTTCTCCTCCGATATGAGTTGGTGAAGTCCTGGAGGATATTTCGGATCATGCGGATATCCCTCGACTGGATGCGCTGTCGGATGTTGTTGAGGAATCGTTCCGACTCCTGTGGCGTTATCGAGCCTGCCGGCAGCATGGCCACCGTTTGTTGAACCCACAGAGCCACTTGCTCGGGCATCAGCTCGAACAGCTCCAGAAGCACCCCCGACGAGTCTGCGAAGCAACCCTCCGGGAAGCTGTACATCATGCCCGTCATGATGCGTTGGACGAGTTCCACTCCACTCCCCATGATTAGCTGCTTGACGCGATCTTGTAGCGCTTGGGGTACATCATGCCGGCCCAGGTCGAAGGACGAAGAAGGGGGCGAATTCCGTCCGTATCCGACCAGGTCCCGGAGAAAGTGCAATGTGGCGATCAACGGTTCCTCCTTGAGGAGGGTCAACGAACTACATGCTGCTTGCAAGATGGATTCCATCAGCGGCGAGGTTATCGATTCGTTGGGGAAATAAAGCGCCATATCAGCTGCTAACCGGAAGAAATCCTCAATCACTAGGGATGGTCAGTCTCTGCCCTTGGAAGGATTAGTCCTACTCACAGTCAGGTAAATGCTCAGGAGGCAGGTCGTTTAGTATGCGCAGAAACGTCGTCGCCTGCTGTTGATAAAACTGAAACACAGCACTAGCCATGGTGGTATCCACCCTTTCCTCTCCCTGCGAAAATTCTCTGACAATCGAAGCCGTAGCCCATAGGAAGCATCCCTGTCGGGACTTTTCAAAGCCTTGTGAGAGCTGGTTCGCGAGTTCAGGTAGCAGCGGTTGCATGGCCTTCCCATAGGACAGCACCATGTACCGCCAGCATCGACACACTCGCTCCAAGACAGGAACGCTGTTGGAAAAGTGAGTTGCGATGTGACCTAAGATTGGGAAGATATCCTGGCAGTATTTTACCCCAGGGTGCTCTGTACCAAGCGGGACTACTGGTTTCACAACCTCAAAGAAAACGGTGATGAGGTTAACGCGGTCTGTGATGTGCGTTAGCAAGTTGACGATAGCGTACACCACATCGAACCATACCTGCTAGCAGCTTCTGCTCTTCGTCTTCCTTTGCGCGATTGGCAAGATCAACCAGTCCCTGCACCACGGGGTTGCAATACAGCTTAAGAGTGTCGTAGATCCGTTCTGCGGGCAATTGTGCGACTACCGAGGCAACGCCGTCAGTTATCTCTTCCTGACTGCTCATGGGCAGACGGTCTAGGTGCTTGGAGTAGAACTGCTGCAGTGGCTCAACGTAGTCTACGAGCAGGCTGGCGCAGTCATTGCAGAAGAATTTGAACGAGAGCGCAGCTGCACGCACGACTTCCTTCGTAGAGTGATCGAATGCGGCCATGATGTAATCCAGTTGCATTTGCAGGAGAGTTGGGTGGTGTGCGGTCCATTCGGTGTAGCGGCCCAGTGCCATTACGGCTTGAAACCGGACCTTCTGGTGATCCGGGATTTGGACGATGAGGGGGATTAGCTGGGGAAGCATGACGTCTTCCTCTGGAGCTACCATGCGCCCCATCGCTCGTACCGCAAACAATGCGGCCTCCAGCTTTTGCCATTCGGGTACGTGATATGGCGCTGCTTGTGCTCCAAAAGTCTGGACCCAGGCCTGAATGAGATCGTACGGCTTCTTCAAGCATTCGCTGACGCCTATGACTTCGCAGCAGTCTTTGAGCACGTCGCCCATTTGATGACGGAACTCTCGAAACTTCTCCTCCTGCTCTCGGTCCCCCTCAAACAGATCCTTCTCATCGCCGTTTTCTGGCTTTGGGTACTCTAGATGGGCTATCATGATATCGACAAGGCGTGAGTAAATGGGGCCATACTGGACCCTAGCCTGCACGTACTTCTCCAAGGTTAGGTACTGCTTGAGGTCGTACCAGAATTTGAACGTGTGAGATATCGCGTCTCTCTCCTTGTCAAGGGCTGCGGTTTCTAAGACGGCAGAAACGAGGTCCTGGAACTCGGAAGGCAGCCTTGCAATCAGAAGGACCCAGGACTCCCCAGCCTCAGCAAAAATCCTCGCGATGCCTTTGTACTTCTCGGCGTCCTCATCCCTGGCTGCTTCCGCAATCATAGGCCTCAAAGCGATGACGTGTGGATACAGTACCAGTATACTGGACATTGTTTCATCCACATCCCTGGTCTCGGCAATGAGAGCGCACAAACACTCAACGGCAGCCTCAAAGGGTTCGTCGGCGGACAGGTCGTCGAGGATGATCTTAAGTAAGGGAGAGTTGATAATATTGTCCAAGGGTATCTCGCGCATCCAGGATGTAATGCAATAAAGCAATTGGGGATTCCGAGCCGCAGACGCTGTATTGAATTAACCCTCGGTCGGCCTCATGGAGTGTTTCCGGACACTTACCGGATGATTGTGCGTATTGCACCAGCAACTGAAGGGCCTGAAGCGCGTTCTCCTCGATCAATTCGGCTGTCCTTATACTCAGTTCGGATTCCTGGTAGAACCAATATTAGACTGTGACCTTGATACTAGTGTGGGATACCGCAGGGAGGTGCCGGTAAGTTGATGGTGATTCGATCGAACGTACAGTGAGGTTGATTTTGCGACCATACGAGACCTCTTCAGGGAGCACACGAAGGAAGTCCAACACGCAAGGAAGCGTTGCGGGTTCGGTCCCGAGGGTGGAAACTATGAGAGACAGCACATCTTTCCATTCGGTCATCTGGATAGCCAGATTGGCCAGGCAAACACATAGCTGCAATCTAATCGGCTTTGGCCCCGCATGGTAGGTTGCCAGATTCTTAATGAGTGTGTCCCGGAGGTTGGGAAGCGACTGGCGCGGTATCTGGTGCAGGTCGTATATTATCTGGACAGGTCAGTTCTGATGACAGCGTAGGAGCTTGTGGCATACTTTTCCCTTCAAGGTTGTTACAGCAAAAAGCTTCGCGGAAGGCTCAACTTCGTTGGCCTCTAGAATAGCTATTGTAGCTGCCCATGCCTCGTTCTAGTCCTCATATCAGATACGACGTTGCAGAACACCGAGCTTCGGGCACACCTACCGACTTCTGGAAAGTTTCCAAAAACCTATGTGCCTGCTCCTTTTGCGCCCTATCCGCCCCCGACGACATAGTATTGTGTGCTGCCAACACCGACGCAAAAGCTTGTTGCACACCGTTCGCGGCCATGGTTGCGGGGCAGGGCTCTGAAGAGAAGCGGATGGCGGTCGGAGGGGTGAGGGCAGGCGAAGAGTTAAACCGCGCGCATGCAGCGTGAATCGGTATACGGTCGGAGAAGGGGAGCTTCAGTGGAGATAAGGCAGGGGATTCCGCGTCCAAATCGGAGCAGGGAAGGAAAGTTGGAGAGGTTTTGTTTGGGGTCTCGCAGTGCAGGTGCTGCCAGGAGCGGTTGCTTGACAAACTCACCCGTCGAAACTGGACGGAACCCCAGCGGCTTGGCATTTCGCTTGTCACCGCCTTCCTGAAATCGCCAGAAATGAGAACCTCCCGAAGCATCCTACAGCTCACCTGGGCACTATTAGACCTCCTACGCACCGTGACACGCAGCGTTCGACTGCGCCAGTGGATCCGCTACTCGTTTACCTATTCAACAATACAACTATCACTGGATTGCCAGAATGGCTGGACGCGGTGGTGAGTGTCCCCAAAAAGCCATCAACAACACGGAAGCTAACATGCGCCGTCTAGGTCGTGGGGGAGGCAAAGGTACAGTTTCACACTGCAATCCGCTCTTGCAATGCTTACCAGTGCTTAGTCCTTCTCCCTCCCATCAATTTCATCTTCAAGCTTCTCCAACAACGGGCGACAGTGTCGATATGGCTGTATGAAAACCTTGGGCTGCGAATCGAAGGAAAGCTCAGAGTGTGTATCGCAACCAAGTTATTTCCTTCCTCTTCGCTGACGATGGTTTAGGGATTTGACGAATTCATGAACCTGGTTATCGACGACGCGGAGGAGGTTGCCTACGAGAAGAAGAGCGGCAAAGAAGAGAGCCGGCGCAAGCTCGGTAGGTGCGCGTAGCGGTACTATTAAGACATGCTAACTCTGCTCGTAGGGCAAATCATGTTGAAAGGCGATAACATCTCATTGATCCAGCAAGTCCAGTGATCGTGCCTAAAACTGCACCCCGAAAGCCAGGCGTTCTGTCCACTGTGGCGGACAATGAGAGAGGTCGAGGAGCCAAAAAGGCGCGGTTTGACGAATGCTATACTTTGGTTTAGGGCGCTGCGGACGGTATTCAGAAGGATATGTATGGCTCTTGGGCGAGGGCTCAGGCCCGGCGCATTTCGCCGCTTCCGAGGACCAGCGCGTCGAGACGGTAGTCGGTCGAATCCATAGGCACAGACTGGCCGGGAGGGAGCAACTGCTCCATCAATGATAGACCGACTTCTCACACGGTTAGCGACTCTCCCACTTGTTCAACACTAAAGAGTCTCACCTCGAAAAGGCATCCGCGACGATTGGCGACATCGCTGCAGAAAATAATCATAGAATCCCTTGCCATGGCCGAGCCGCCCAAAATCTGCATCGAATGCCATGCCAGGCATTACAATGAGGTCCAACCCACTATCTTCTCCCAACCGTGCATTTGTCTCGCCTTCAGTAAGACCAGTGCCGCCAAATGCATTAGCACGCGCAGGCAGCGAGTCCTCACTTGGCGTAGGAATGCCCCAGTTGTCCCTTTGCATCCCTTCATAGTCAGCTATGGATTTGAGTTCCACCATGTCCATAATAGACTTGGGCTGGCCATGTGCAGGCGACCTAGGCTTGTATGTGTAAGGGATGAAGACACGCTTCTTCTGCCTCAATGCGTCCTGCACAATGCCAGAGGTAGATATCTCCCCTGTAGGCATGGAAAGGTAGACGCTGATGCGCTTGGCTGCTTGATACTCGGGAGTCCCGAGCAACGTCTTCACTGCATTCGTGGCTACTTGAGAGGTTGGCCCGAGGTGCTTGTGTGGTTGACGATTTGACGTACTTTGGGTTTCGATGGCAGATTCCGGGACGTCAGCCAGTATCCTTCTCATCCTGGTCCGCAATTCCTTTTTCAGTGCGGCTGTCGAGGCGGCCATGACAGGAGATGACAATGCCGATTCGAGGCTAGAATGGGCTATTTAGTGCGCTGCTCAATCGCGAGAAGACTTTCAGTATCGTACGGAGTAATAAACGTCGTTTAAGTGCTGTCGCCGTCGACTCTGTCCCACCTCGACCCCTGCTGTGGCTGGAGCCCGAGGAACATCCATGGATCTGCACACTAGCCGCTCAACCCCCTGTCATTTCCATGGATGGATAGATCGCGCCCAGGCGCCGACTCCGTGACGCACGTCTCCACATTCCAGGAATCAAACATCAACTTCCGTCTTCCCTTCTGTGTCTCCCGCACCATACCGTGTACTTTACTGTGTACTATGGCGCTCTCCATCCTGTGTACCCTCTTGCTAACAAGCGGGTTTGCTGCCGCGCAAGCCGCCGGACAGGGCCTCGACTTCACAGACCTCGTAGGCACATGGTCGTCCAAGTCGAATTCCACCTTGACGGGCCCGGTATGCTTCACGCGCAAACCATGGGAGCATACAATGCTAATAAGAGGCGCAGGGGTTCTACGATCCGGTCAACGAGAGACTTATTGAGCCGACGCATACGGGCATATCTTATTCCTTCACCGCCGACGGTCACTTTGAGGAAGCCTACTATCGCGCCATCTCGAATCGTACGTTTACCTAGTCCAAAGCGATCCGAGTCACTGGAGACGGTTCATGGACAGGACTGATGATTCCAAACAGCGACGAATCCAAAGTGCCCCAAAGGCATCATGCAGTGGCAGCACGGCAGCTTTACCAAACACGCCAACGGCTCCCTGACCCTCACACCCATCGCTGTAGATGGCCGGCAACTGCTTTCGGATCCGTGTCTCTACAGCAGCTCCATTTATACCCGATACAACATGACGGAGTTGTTCACGGTGAGTGGTGCTTGCGGCAAAGGGTGGATGGAACGCTTATGCTGTTTTGTAGCGGTACGAAGTCCTCACGGACCCCTACCACAAGATTCCGCGTTTAAACCTGTATAAACACGATGGATCTCCACTGATGCCCCTCTACCTTGCGTTTTCCCCTCCCCGGATGCTTCCGACTACGACGCTGAACCCCTTGACCACATCGACCCCTGGAGGGGCGAAGGCGACGGCGAAAGCCCGGCGTTCCGAAATGCCGCTCAACCACAACGTGGTCGGCAAGCGCTCGCCGGAGATGCAAAGAGCAGATCGTTGGTGGTGGTTCGGTGTTTTGCTTACCGCCAGTGGAAGCATATTGTATTTCCTCTTCTAAGCGCGACGAAAACGAGCACATTCACGACTGTTGTTTCCGGCATTGGCAGGATAGAAGGGGGCGTACGCGTATGGATAGCCGATGAAGGAGCGGCTGATAAGGCGCATACTTTGGAGTTGGCTGGGCATGCTCACATGTTGGTTATTCTGTTTGTTTCGCTTGGCAACGGCACCGATGGTGGTGGTTTGGCGTGTCCAGAGCAGAAAACAACCAGGGGGTTGGGCGGCTACCTGGGTCTAGTAGGTGGCCGTCCAGATACCAGTAGACGGCCACGGTAAGGTTAGATTGGGGGCAGGACCAAGGCGTTCCGGTGCACCCTCCCGCTGCATGTCAGTCAAATGGAGGTACCACCGTAGGGAGTTTCCATGGCGGACTTTGTAGCTTGTTGGGCATGCGTTGCACGGTCCGATCAGCAGAAGGAGTGCAGAATCAGCGTGGCACCACAGAAGGCATCTGGTCCCCATCAGCACTGGGCTGTCTGCCAGTCCTACCTACCTAGGTAGGGGGGATGCAGATAAGAGTTGTCTAGGCCCGGCCTGTGTACTTGTAACGCAGTAGTAGGACGAGAGGCAGAAAGGGGGTTTTTGCATAGATTTCTCTTTTTCCTGGACGGTTTTTGCCACAGCCTTGCTCTCGTCCATCTAACAAGTACTACACAGTATGTATGTATACCTAGTAGGTAGATCCCTGGAATTCCAAGGTTCCCGGGTCGGCGCCGCCCCTTGTGGGTTTACCAGGACCTTTGGTGTTACTTTTTAGGTTTTTGGCCTCGTCTCCCTCCGGCCCGGCGCGGCCGCCCACCTTTTCTTTTTCCGGCCCTGCTTTTGCAAGGCACGAGACCCCGCCGAAGTTCACACCCCCTCCACATCCACCACCACCACCGACCCACCCCACCGCCTGTACCTCTCTTCTCATGCCTTCTCACAGCGCCCTGCATCCACCGCGCTGAGCTCGCTGTAGCCTCTGCCGTCCGCGTCTTTTGCAACCACAGCTACTGCTGGAGCCCATGGCCCAACGTCCAGCCCACCCGCTGCGGCACCTCCCTCACGCTTCGCAACCTCAAGCCTCGCAACTCAGTCGTTGACACACCCACACCCACACCCACACACCTACCTAGGCCCCAACCCTCATTTCCCAACGGCTCTTCTTGACTCTGTGCCAAATAATGAAGCATTAGCGTCATAGACCTCCCTTCTCCCTTCCAAACACCTTCACCTCCCCTTGGCCCTTGGCTTCTGTCACGGCCCTTTCTGCTGCGAATCCGCCGCTCCCTATCCGAGCCTACCTCGTTTACAGCCTCCGCCATACTTCCGCCTCCCTCTGCGGCGCCAACGCCAAGGACAAGGCCGTCCACGTCGTCTTGTTTTCGCAGCAGTTCCCGACCTCCCTCGCTCTTGAGCCAGTCTCTCAGACACCCGGTCCGAGAGTTCTGCCTGACGACCGTCGAGCTCAGCAAGACACAACCGACAACGAAGCCGTGGCGCGGTTCCCGCCTGTCTAGCCACCCTCCGTCGTCCAGCCCCTTCGTCTCGTGCTACAGTACCCTCTATATACGCACAGCCGATTGGAATTGCGCTGCAGCAGTACAGAATCGTAAACAAAACCCCCGTGAATGCTGCGGCAGCTCAGTACTCACCCTCAAACCGACCACCTCCCAAGAAAACCACCACCTCGGACATGGCCGCCATAGACCCTCCCTCTGCCCCCAACCCCGCCGGCGATGCAGGCGTCCTTCCCGAGTTTCGCAGCCTTAGCCTCCAAGATGCTCCTTCTCCCCCAGCAGACGAGAACGAGCTCGACGTCATGACCATGGAACGAGAGACGGCCATGAAGCTCGTGCAGCGTGCAGTGCTGGCTCTGGCGAATGCCACCGGCGATGTGCCTGCCACACCACCTTTATCGCGGCCCGCGACGCCGAGCAGTAGCAGGGAGAACTTGCCGGCATTGATGCGTGGACACCGCCGAACAGCTTCGCGACCAGCGACCCCTATTCCGGCCGACCGGGAACCGCACCAGAGGGTGGAGCTGGATCCAGCAGAGGCAAGCCATGACGAGCCCACCATCACCGAGGGAGATATTGGCTATGGTGCTCAGCCAGAGCACATTCAGCGAGCCAACATGGCCAGGAAGTTCTTCTCCAAGACGGTGCCCAGGATCAGCCTAGAGGACTACATGAACCGGATCCAACAGTACTGCCCTCTTTCCACTGGGGTTTGGTTGGCTGCAGGGTCGTATATCCTGCGATTGTGCGTCCTGGACAAGGCTGTGCCGCTCACGCACAGGACCATGCATCGTCTCGTCCTCGCGGCGCTTGTGACGGCGATGAAAGCTCTCGAAGACCATCGTTGGCCCCAGGCACGCTTTGCAGGTGTAGGGGGCGTGGATCAGCATGCCCTCAGCCGGCTGGAGCTGTGTGTCGAGTTTCTGCTCTCGTTTGATCTCCAAATCTTCTCCCCGCAACAGATGACGGGGAATACGATTGCCCTGCAAAAGGCTGCGCAAGCGGCGACCATGTCGGCCAAGCTCCCTTCTTCATTCAACCTGCGGATATCCAACCCCAAGTATCGACAGTGAGAGGCTCCGCTGACCGTGAGGAGGAAACGGTCGTGTTTGATTTTTTCGTCGTCTGTTTGAAGTTTTGACTGGTGCATGGCATGGCGTTTGGGTTCTATGCATGCATTTGTGGCAACTGGATTTGCATGGAGATGATGTACAATAGTCGCTTTGACCGTGGACGATGGCGTCTTGGGGAGGAAGATCAAAACCACCAGTGGACATTGCGCGGCCTCCTGCTGTCCGATAGCATATGCAGGCATGCATGCAAACCCTGGTGGTTTCGTGTTTTCGGAATCAAATAGGTGACTACTGATCAATGACGAAGGTTGTAAGAAACACTCGGACGTGTGGGACTTGAAGATGACGCTTGGGGATGTTGGGGAGATCGAGGACGCTTGGCTGGAAATGGCTAGCTGATCTCCCCATCCCCGGCCCCCGATAAGATCTTCCAAGGTTCCAAGGTTCCTTGGCCGTGAAACCAACCTTGGTCAACAAGCCGGCGGGTCGTCATTTATGTTTCCTGTGGAATTTGACCTCGCCCGTTCCCGATCATTATCGAACACATAATAGACCACGCCGGGCCGTTCTGTGTTCTCTTCCCCTCGCCTCTGGCTTTTGCTTTTGCTGGCCGCCGTCGCTCGTTTATTCGCCTCCAGCCAAGTGCCGCCATGGTTCGCAATGTCTTGTTGGCGCCAGCGGCCCTCGTTGGCCTTCTTGCACCCTTCGTTTGCGCCGATGTCGAGTTTGTAGCGCCAAAAGCCGGTGACCAGTGGGAAGCAGGCGGCGTAGAAGTGAAGTGGAGGGAATCCGGTGTCGCCCCTGCCCTCACCGATCTCACATCCTACGACCTGTTCCTGTGCGCCGGCAGCAACGACGAATATGTGGGTGTGCAGTCTGAGGGCCCGAAACCCTACCGAGGTGCCCTGCTCCAGGAACCCTACTCTGACGCCTCTCTTAGGTTGACGTGCTCCACATCACAGCCGGTGGGCCCGGAAGCTTCCCTACTGGAAATAAGTATCCGGCGAGCATTGGGTCAGGTCTTGGTGCTTCGACTCCACAGAATGCATAGTATGTTCTTCCACCCGCGAGGACCAATGCGCCCTACACCGAAGCTCTACTGCTGACACAGCTTCTCCAAGTTTTTTCAGGATGACATCCACTGCTGCCAAAGGCGGAACCGTCACGAACTTCTCCCCTCGATTTTCCCTTTCAGGAATGGAAGGCACTTTCCCGCCAAATATTGTTGCCGCTCTGAAGGACGTTTCCGGCACTGACGGCCCTGGCCGTATCGATAAAACAAGCGATGGCGGCCCCGCGGCGCCGGGGGGGAACGAATTTGAGGTGGAATACACAATGCAGACGGGCCCTACGCGCTACGCGCCTATGCAGCCCATACCGCCGACCAAGATTACAAAGAAGAAAGCCACACCTCTGCACCCCACCTCCGCCTTCACAATTGCAACGACATTCCTAGCGAGACCAACGGTTCAGACGACCATTACGCAGTCCCAGACGTTTTCCATCTCGAGCAGAGAGAATACGGTGAGTACCCAGGTCCCTTTCAAGAAACTCACACACCATTCCTTGGGAGCTTGCCATTGTAGTTATCGCATGTTCAACGTGACGTCTTCATGCTCATCTTTATACAGGCTGCTCCCGCTCCTATGCCGACGGATGACATGGCCAAGTTTCTTGCGAGGTGGAAGGATTGATCCCCAATACTCGACCATGACCTTTCCTTGGTTCCCTCATTTGCGCCGGTTGATTTCCCTGGACACGGATGTTTGGGGTTCTCAGGTAGTGAGTGGTACTCGATCGGTGGCGGCGTTTAAAGGGCGAGCTTCTTGGTCTGGTGGAACGGAGCATCAAAGAGTCATTTACCGCACATCTGGCATGTCAACCATACATCCATCCATAGAATATCAATTAATACACTTCCGTCTCCCCAGTCAAAGCACACATCCGCCCCGGCCTTCGGCATCATGGATATGAGAAGCTCCCTTAGCCATGCCCCTGGCCATAGATCCTCTTCTTGGACCGCGGCTACCCGCCGCGAACACCAATCTATCCCGCCCCCACCACCACCTACCCCACCAAGAGCCGTCAGACGAACCCATCTCCGACCACCTAGCTAGGTACGATGCTGGATGAAGGTTTTCAGCGTGATCCAACCACACAATAACGCCTTTCATATCGCTGTGAGGAGCGTCTTGTTTCTCCAGCCTCCATTCTGCCTCCGAATCCGTCGTGCTCAGCTTTATCAACTCCCTCAGCCTTCAAGCCGTCACATTTCCACAGCGCGTGCATTCCACACCATCTCAAGCACGAAAGTACAGCCAAGGCCCAGCGAGAAATACAGATATAGAGAGTCCTCAGCGGCAGCAGTTACATCATCAGCCATGACCGACGCTGCACGCATTGACGCGAGCCGCAACTACGAGAAGGTGCTCCGGGGAAAGTATCCGGCGAAGGCGCATGCGAAGAAGGTGGCCGAGTGGATCTTGGAACAGGGTGGGGATAGAAGGGGTACAATCTACCTGGAGGCGCAGAAGAGGAAGTTGTTAGAGGTATGCATCTGCTGCTATATGAGCCGAGGGAGCAGCATGACATTGGCCTGTTAGTGGAGGAGATTCGATAGAGTCCCAGGGCCAACGAGCTTTGGATGAAGGAAGAGGCTGACGGTGATGCAGGATAATGATGAGGATGCACCCTTCCGGTGGGTTCTTCCTTTGGTCCTCTCATATCCGTCATTCAACGTATCCCCCTTCAGCATCGACACCCCTCTCTGGACGGACGCTAGAGTGTAAACATGGGCTAATATGTGCGCAGCCAGCGGCGGTTCTTTTATTACCTTAGTGGCTGCAACCTTGCGGACTCGTATTTGACGTACGAGATCGAGACCGAGAAACTGACGCTTTTCATCCCGCCAATCGAGCCGGACGAGGTGATATGGAGTGGGTTGCCGATGACGGTGGAGGAAGCTAAGGAGAAGTGAGGACTCTTTGCTTCTAGTGCGCAGCCCCAGACTAACAATGGCCCAGATATGATGTGGACGATGTGCAGACAACCAACGATGTGAATGCATACCTGAGCTCCTCAAGTAGCAGCGCGCTTTCCACGATTTATGCCATTCCCGAACAAGTCTCTGACCACATCACCTTTCTGGCCTATAAGGACAAGGAGCTCAGCCTCCTGAAGAGAGCAATCGAAATATGTCGCGTGACCAAGTCTCCCTACGAAGTGGCTCTCATCAAAAAGGCGAACGACATCTCCACGGACGCCCACATCAACGTCATGAGGTCCGTCCGCAACTCCAGGAATGAAGCGGAATTGTACGGCCTGTTCCTGAAATCATGCATTGAGCGGAACGCAAAACACCAAGCTTATCACAGCATCGTGGCCGCTGGCGAAAATGCCGCTACCCTGCACTACGTCAAGAATGACGCGCCAATCTCCGGGAAAGATCTTTTGCTCCTGGATGCTGGCTGCGAGGTCGACTGTTACGCGTCCGATATTACCCGCACGTTCCCCATTTCGGGCGAATTCACAAAGGAAAGCTTCAGCATCTACGAAATCGTGCTCTCTATGCAGACAAGATGTCTTGCTGCACTGAAAACTGGTGTACAGTGGGAATCCGTGCATGAGCTAGCGCACAAGGTCGCAATCGAGGGCCTCCGCTCCCTTGGCATATTGAAAGGCGACCCTTTGGAGCTCCTCAAGTCCAGAACGAGCGTAGCCTTCTTCCCGCACGGCTTGGGTCACTACCTGGGCATGGACACGCACGACACTGGCGGCAATCCCAACTACAGCGACCCCGATCCCATGTTCAGGTATCTGCGTGTGCGTGGTAACCTTCCGGCTGGCAGCGTCGTCACTGTCGAGCCCGGCATCTACTTCTGCAGATTCATCATCGAGCCTTATCTGAAGGATCCGGCGCAGAGTTGCTATATCAACGAACAGGTGTTGGAGAGATACTGGAGTGTCGGTGGCGTCAGGATCGAGGGTACGTACTCTGCTAGATCACTTTCTTGCCTTCATCTCGTCGTGGCCGTCGACAATCATGAAAGCCTCGCTGACTTGGTGCCTTTCGCAGACAATATCCTCATCACTGAAGATGGTTACGAGAATCTGACACGGGCGCCCAAGGAGGCCAGCCAGCTGGAGCGGTTCATCAAGGATATGCGTTAATCCGAGGTTTTTTTCTCCGTGCATTTCTTTCTACATTCCTTCGCGTTTGCCTTACGCTGGTTTTCGCGCCTCCTTATGCTCCGACTGCGCCGCGGTAAACGGGGCGAATAACAGTAGAGTAGATGTATGCTTGTAGGATAGATAGTATATTCTACATCTCACTGTGGCGTTAAAGATGTGCTGGCACGGACAAATCGCGCTTGCCTGTAGCTAAGAAGATACCAGTAAGTTCAACTTTATCGGAGCACATGATACATAGATTGTTGACTTGCGAGAACAAAGGCACCTCCAACAAGAACCTGGCCTCGAAGCCTTATGCTAACACGAGATTCAATCATTATAGTAAGCAGATACCAGCTTATCCCCGTTCTTTATTTGTTTTCCCCAAAGTCAGCCATAGCATGCACCGGCTCAGGTTACTGTGTAGAAACCAACAAACGTGAGTAACGCCTTGAGACACTATAGAAAACCCAAGGTAACCCAACTGAACATGTGCATGTCGAACCCCAGCACACATACGGTTCACACAACAAAGTCTAGTGTGGACCGCATGCCCACCCAGTGGATAGTGGCCGCCGCTAACTTCGCAGATACAACATCGGTGAATGGTGACGAGGAAGGTACTGATAGGTTGTTGCCACAGAAGCCCAATACATACGTTAATGTACAGACGATACGAGAACAGAATAGCAGTGTAATCGAACGGCAGCTTGACCTGACAGTAACTGGTCCCTTGCCTCAGGTAGATCATGATGAAATCGAGAAAGAGTGGGGTTGGCAGTTGACTCGGGTTACCGTTGTGCCGCCAGTGTACATTTGACTGGATGACGCCGTGCCAGATTCTGGTCTGGTTGAAATAGGGAAGAGCCTCACTCTTCCGGAAGAATGGCAGGGTACGCTCTCGCAAGAGCTGGAGAAAGGGGGAGGAAAAGAAAAGGAAGAACATCCGTTACAATCGAACCACCCCTACACTTGGCTGTGTCTCGCGCGCTTGCGGCTGCTGCCTGGGATGACTGCCGGACCACGATGCGTTGCCTCGGCCTCGCCGCCACCTCCTCGTTTGGCCTTCTCCATGTTATCGAGCACCAATTGTAGAACATCGTACGAGAACTGGGGAAACTCGAGACACATGGCCTTGAATTCGGGTTCGGCGTCGTGCCGCAGGGTGTGGCTCCTCGTTGCCCAGAACGCGGCAACCGGCTTTCGGATCGTTGCATCTTCCGGGTTGCTCTCCTTGTACACGTAGCGGGCATACGCCAGCTCGCCCTTGGCGGTCGATGCCGTGCGGTGGATCTTGCCGTGCGCGAGGGACTTCAGATCGGGAAGCTGCAGCGTGTCGGCAAGAGTGTAAACACGAGCATGGACAAGCAGGCCCAGGCCTTCGTCGTCGGGAACGGGCAATCGAGGATCTTTCTCCAACGGTGCGTCACGGGCGGCAGACGTCTTCTTGGGAAAATATTCTCCCGTGTAGAGGTACTCGATCACGGAGCCCATGGCATCAACATCGGCATCCGGATAGACGATGCGACGGGGCTAGAGACCAATCAGTCTAGATTCGAAAAGCCCAATGAAGCAGCAGGTGCTCACGCCTCCGGGTGTGAATTCGGCTATCTGCCGGGCCAGCGCGGGGGCTTTGAGAAGGACCGCTTCGTGTGCGGAGTAGGTTTGACGTTCATCCCCCGTCCCTACTACCACTTCGACAATGGGACTTTTGACTAGACTAGTATGCTATCAGCGCCAGGTTCATATGCACCCGTTGATACGAGCATCTCTCTGGTCACACTCGTTGCCAAGTTCAGTGGCAGGAACAGCACAGCGCGGCAAGACTGACACTTGGCCATAGGAGAATGTATCGCAGCAATGCTCTCGCGGGGTTTCAGGGCGCATGTACATACTCTGCGAAGAGGACGAGTTTGGGTGGCTCGGGTTCCAGCTCTGTGAGTCCTGCTTCTTCGCCGGTACCAGCACCAGCAGCTGGGTCGGCTCCCTCCATCTCAACATCCTCGGCCGGAGTCTCCTCCACTGGTGTCGGTTGTTCGATATCCGCCATGGCAACGAGGCGCGCGGGGGCAATCTGATGCTTTTCAAAGCGACGTAGGTGACGCTATAGCGAGTGGGTAGAAGAGATCTGGACGGGAAATGGTCTGGCTCCAAGCGCAGGAGACGCGAGTATATGGAATCTGAGTAGGAGAGTTGAGGGTGAGGAGTGTCCAAAAATTGAGACTGGATTGGCAAATTGGGGGGTTTCTTACCTTCAGTTCCCAAAAGCGGTTGGTTGGGCGGGTGGCTGGTTAACGTTGCGCGGGTCGTGGTCAGGACGAAGCTGGGGACTCTTTGGAGCTTTGACCGCGCGCTAAAACGTACCTGCATTAGCGTTTCCTTGCAGGGTTGGGCGTCCATGGCCAAGGGGTTTTGTTTTGTACTTGTATTGATACGGAGTATACTTGCTGACAAGACTGCCTTCAGAACGTTAACTTGAGGCTTCAGGGCCTCTAATACGCCGCACGGGTTTGAGCGATTTTGTTCAGCAGAGGCGTGCGGTAACGTTAATGGACGCACCGATCATGACTATCTATTCAACTTCAGCCTCTGCTGGTAAGGTATCTGCACACAGCAAAAGGCGATATCCATACAGACTTCAAGCAGATCGAACCACATCGAATATCTTCGGAACCCGCAGCAGTACAAGCTTTGATGCAGCTCCAAGCAAAAAGAAATCCGCGAGCGAATAGGTGGTCGGGGTTGCTATATTCTACCACCGTTTTCGTGAAACCGGTCACCAGTTGTGGGAACCGGCTTATCGGCGCGAATGGCGAAGAGCAACAGGTCCTCCAAAGGAATAAATACATAGAAGACTCTGTTGAACAGGAATGATATGGCAACGTAGGCTGTCGCAACCATGGCGTCCAGCCAGTAGTGGTTGGCTGTCGCAACAATTGTGACCAGAATGAAAGCCGGGTAGACGAGACCGAAGATCAAGTAGAAAACCTTCCAGAAGAGGGGTTTACGGGTTTGCCGCGATTCCAGAGTACGGCGATAAAGCCCCGAATGGAAAATGAGCGTGGCGCCAATGCAGAATGCATAGCCGAAATGCATCGATGGCATCGCAGCAAGTGTATTGATGTACTTTCCGCTCATCCACACGCTCTCTGCATTGTCATGCCGAACCGTATCAAGGAACCCATACTCGCGTGGTAGAAGGCGTGGTGGCATGCATGGGTAGAAGATGAAGGTCAGGAACGCGCAGAAGTTGGTCAGTGTCATTGTACGGCGGACCATGGCGAAAGTGTCGAAAGATGGAGCGACATAGTAGTACCAGCATATGAATCTGAGAATTTTTAGCAGATTGAGTTACAGCTTCTTCGAATAGTGTGACTACGGACCCTACAGTGCCCGGTATGTGGATCAGCGCATACGCTTTGTTGAGAACAGTTAAAAGCCCCTGGTGGCCGTGCATGAACCATTGCTGCACACTCCTCTCCCGCACCGGCAGAAGAAAGTGCAGTACGGTGTTGTGTTCCGTCTCCAGGACCGACAATCCATGCGCCTGCGCAACATTCCATATTCCCGTCTCTGCGAATATGTGCTGAGATGCAACGGCTGTGAAGCGGTAAAAGGCGTAGTTGACTATCCAATAAAGCATCTCGACCAGGAACGGGAATCGCTGAAGAATGCGGCTGTGGATATTATCTCGGAAACGGGCGGTATTGGGGGTATGAATAGTGAAGCAGCAACAGCTGCGTTTCTTCGGTGGGTGTTTTCGGGTAGTGACTATATCGTCATCCTCGTCCTCTGAATAAGGTTTAAGAGGTAGTAGAGCCTCCGAGGAGCCGTCGGAATCAAGACTCCCCAGTCCATTTGAAGGCGAGGAACGTTTCCTGAGGATGCGAAAGTTGCGCCGCCGTGTCATGAACATTGCTCCAAAGAGGATACAAGCAACAATCTGAAAGAGCAACCCAATGTCAGCCATATGGAAGCAGTGGTCGCAGCCGACGTAGTTGGCGGGAAAACGTACAACGGGCTCCGCCCAGCCTGGTAGTTTCCATGCTGGCTCGCTGTTCCATTCGGGTTCTCGAATGGAAGACATGCTGTTCTGCCCCGACGCCGGGATTCAACAGTTAAAGGACGTATCGAACGGTGGACTCCCTGCAGACCGACAGTGTGAATCTCGGTTACCTTGGGGTAAAGGAAGCCTAACGCCCTCCTTCCGTCATTGGTATATATAACTCTCTTCCGCCAATGCCCTTTCACACGCCACAAGTATCAGTGAGGGGGAAAGCGGAAATTCCCCCGAAAGCAATGATTGAGGAACCTTCTGGGAGAAGGAGAAGGGTGAGAAGCCGATGGCTTGCCAGTTCAAAGGGAGAGCGGGCCTTGTCCGGTGTACTACACAGTAAGGGAGGCTTGGCCTTGCTGGATCCACCTATGACGAAATGGTTGGTTATCGCAGCGAGTGCATTCGCGGAGTGGTGTAATGCCATAGGCACTGGGCAATGGGGTAGGGAAATCCATCGCATGTGCTTTCCTCTGCCCTGTAGCACATGAACAGGGCAAAAGACTATTCAGTGTTCGGGACACCGCTTGCACCGACCCTCGCCGGATCTCGACGACGCATGGAAAGACTGCACACAGCGGATGGTCGAGTGAGGAGCGCCGAGAAGCGTCTAGGTTGCTCGCGTGGTGTTTGGGGGCATACTGGTACTGCATGTACTATTAGGGAGTCTTCACTCTCGCCGCCGTTGGGGGATGGTGGTGATGAATTGGATCGAGATGGCCGATGTTGAGAAGCGCAACATATCCCCGGCGGTCTTGCTTTCTTGCTTTCTGAAACTGAAGCGCAGCTTCGTCCGAGTGAGTACTGTGGTGCTATGGTAAACTGTGCAACTGGGAGCCAACAGCCCTTGGGTTCAAATGTTGGTCGAGTGCAATCGGCACGTGGTTTGGGACACTGCAGACTGCAGGTGACGTCGGTGGTGTCGGCATCAGGCTTGCTTACCTACCCCAGTAAAGGCGCGACTAGCGCGTTATGTTGCATCTGAGGACATCAAACCCGCCTTGCTATTTTTTACTGTGTACCCTAGGGTAGGTACACGGCACGGCGCACAGGGCCAATCCTTACCTATGTACAGTAGCATGGCCGACGGATACGAGATACGCAGGTAAAGATGCGAGACGGTGCCAGCTGAAGATGGATGATGCCCCATCCATCATACTGTGTACTCGTGCCCCCTCCCGCTCGAGAAAGAGCCTTCAACTGTCGCATCGTTCCAAGCTCACTTTTGCATCCACAGTATACCCGCAGTACTGTGTACACAATAATAGGCCATGCCGAGTCCACACAGTACTCCGTACAGTACATAGCGTTCTGGCCGAGGCTCCAGTACCATGGATTTGGTTTTGGCCGGCTTTCGACTTGGGAAGTTCGCGGCGGCAAGTCCAACTCCCCCCACAGTAGTGTTTGATTCCAGTTACAGATATTCCACTATATCCGTGGCCGAACTACTACGTTAGACACCGGGCGAGCTTTGAAACGGCAGATGCATGGCTTCAACAGCTTTCTTTTGCCTTAGCGGCATGAGAAGCCCATTGCACGCACGTCATTGGCGGATATTTTTGGACAAACCGCAGATCTCTCCAAGTCACCCGGCCCCAAGGCCCCTCACAGTACTCCGTACTATGTACATAGTACATACTATGTACATAGTACATACTGTGTACATAGTACACAGGATGTTAGTACTCGATATTCCTCCCTACTGTGATCTACTGTGTATATCTACTGTGTATATCTACTGTACAAGTACTCTGTACTTACTTAGTAACAGTAACAATATGCTCGAGCTGCCCTGCCCCAGCCTCTGATTCTTGCTTATGCTCGCCAAAGAAAAAGACCTGAACCCGTGCTTGCAAAAATACCACCGCCCCCTCTGATTGGCGGTTGGTCGCAAAACTTTCCGACCCCCCTGAACACTTTCCAGACGCCTGGATCCCGCCCTGAACCCCGTCCTCGACCCCATCTTGGGGAGCCGGCGCAGGCCAGACATACTGTTACCTACTGTGTAAGGTACGAAGGCATACACAGTAAGAAAGAAGGCAATGGGAGTCTATGAATCCTCGAGGTTGAAAGAAGCAAAGAAAGCGAAGCACATGGCCCAAAGACGGGTTGCCGCTTACCACAGTATATTGGTGCTTGTCCCAGAGCGCGGGGGGATGGGCTTCAGGCGATTCAGGCCGCACCCCAACCCTCCGACCATCTCATGAAAAAGGATGCACGCGCGTGTACCCTCCGTCCTAACTAAATAGTAACTTGTCGTTGGCAATTGCCTTTTCACCTCTGTCTGCTCCGTCTACCTTGGTAGTCTACAAGTAGTACACAGTACCTTAGGGTACTGTCTGCGCTCGCTCCGAGTTGTCGGTGGACAGTCGACATGGAGGCTGACACGAGATATATGCATCCTTGCACTCAAACTTGTCTGCTTCTTTACTGCAACTTCTGGTCCATGGAAGCCGCCCTTCGGAACTACTCTCTCGGGGGAGTTGGTCTTGCGAGGTCGTCGTAACATCCTGCCCAATCATTAGCTAGAGTCATCGCCGAGTGAACCATGCACCGTGGATTGTTGGGCCGTTCGGCTTGGATCCTTGCTCACAAAACAGCTAGTGCTTCCCCTTGAGCGTATGAACGAAGCCAGTGCGCACACCGTATGAAAAAATGGGGGGTGGCAACACGGTTTCCGATCATGGCCCACCGCCTCGCTGTCGACCCATCATCCCCAACTGTGAGCCGCACGCAGAAGCAAGCCCTGTCCAGCTGAAGTGTAGGGTGAGGATGGGGCACCAAGCGCTCTGGTATTCATTTCGTATTCGAGTTCGAGCCCTCCCCCTTATGGCAGACTGAGGCAGCGCGTAGTGACGATGGCCTTGGAAATGGATGCGGCAAAGGACGGAAAGGCACCGGTGAAGATGCACACTTTTGGACCCACATACTTTTTTGGGAAGGGATAGTTGCTGTGACCCAAAGTCAAGTGACTGTCCATACTCGATATAAGTATCACTCGAATTCCCCTAGATATACCATATGGAGTACACAACGACAGAGACATTCTTGATCCCATCGCTTTACCACTCACACCTCCACCACCACCTTCTCAAGCTCCCCAAGCCAACCAACCGCGCCGCCAACCGCGGTAGATCTCGACCCTTTCTCCGCGCGAGCTTTCACAGAATATTGGAGGCGTCAACCTAGGACGGCTCCAGCACGTTTGCCAAAACGTATCCCATATACTTCCTCCCGTTACATCCCTTCTCCATCGCTATCAACCTTGGCACCGGACAAACGGCAGATGTGAGAAAACCTGCAGTGCACACAATGGCTTCGGGTAACCCTAGTAAAACTGTAGGTTCATATGATGGCAACATTTCAGTAGAGGGGAGATACTCCCCGTCCCTAGCTACAGTAGAGGCTTCAGGAGTGACACATGTATGCTAATGCATTCGCTAGTATCAGGCTTCCTGTCACTGTCAGCTGATACGCTACAATGTTACGTTATCTCCGCCATTAAATGATGTCAACAGCTGGGTTGTTGAGTGCAACTGTTCCATATGTGCACGGAACGGTTATCTCAATGTCTACGTTCAAAATGAGTGTATTCAGTTTGAAACAATCGGCCTGGAATCGGACCTGGTTGAGGTAAGGCTCAGCTGCCATTCTCCAAGTACTAACATCTCTTTCGCACACCAGCATAGATACTCACAGAGTACGCAGAAATATCGATTCGGCAAGGAGCGGGTGCAGCACTATTTTTGCAGCAGGTGCGGTAGCAGTCTGATGGCAGAAAGCATCGAACCGGGCTTTTACGAAGGCGTCAAGGCCCTCAATGTACGTTCCTTGCCCCAATTCTCGGGCACATACTCTGCTCGCCCATGGACTGACGCTAATGTGTCTGCACAGGTCCGCATGTTTCACGATGTTGACGTGAGGACGCTACAGCGCCGCCAGGTTGATGGCAAGAGTCTTTGATGACACCCTATCCGAGGGTAGTTTTCTGATTACAAAATCTCCGGCACACTGTGCGCCCATTCCTTCAAGATTCGACACAGTGTTACGCACCCAGAGTCTGAGTGGAGACTAGAGCAGCGATCTATCTGCTCTTCCCAAAGGTTGCCTCCTCCGATGTCATGTTGAATGATAGTACTAGTAGTCTAGTAGCCTTGGATGGCGAAAGCTTCAAAACTCGATACGGCAAGTATTTTGCAGCTCTGCATTTGTTGGATATTCCCATGTTTCACTCCCGACTTCAAAACCGCATCCTATAGAGAGTATCAGAACGAACGAAGCCGTTCTTACACCTCCAGGGATGAATAATCCTACCTAGGTACAGATTGTTCCCACACCAGGCATGTCGTATCCGTCGCATATGACTCGAGCTCTTTTGTGAATAAATTCTGTTGACCTGCCGGGCGCGTGTAGGACAGCTTGGCAATCTATATTCACAGTGTAGCGCTGTCATGCAGGACGGCGCCAACACGGTAAGGAGATCTAAACAACACTGCACACTGTACCCAAGACATCGACATTCACACAATGTTCCTGCTGTTGCGATTGCGCCCAGGGCAGCGTGCAACCTTTGGGCGGCGGAGATCAGAAATAAATATATAAGGGTGGTGCCTTCATGCATCCCCGTCTACAACCCCATTAACGGTTGCCGAGCTCAGTAGAAACCGCACATAGAAAACTCGTAAGCTGTTGCACGCAACTAACGGCCGGATCTATCTATACTAATGGCTCTATGTAGAATAGTTTCTCTGGAATCGTGCCTCCTTAAATCGTCCATCCTATCCCACGGATGCGTTTTCAATCCAATCCAACTCTCGACAGCCTGGACAGATATCTGACAAATGTATTGCCTCTCGGCCTCGCCACTTGATCGAGAGGAGGAAACCGTCGTCACGTGAGATCGCGGAAAACGTTCGACGCGTCCGCACGTGAGAGGTACGCTTCTCAAGAGGTTTCCCATCCCGGACGTCCAAGTAGCTGATCGGGTGAGAAAACGCTACCTTATAGTCTCTAAGAGGCACCGTGCCTCTACAATTCCCTGCCTACCGCATATGGAGAGGGCAATCCCCGCGCCTCCAAGCCCCAGTCCTGAACCTTGGAAGGTTGGCGATTCCCACCCGGACCCCTCCCCCGCGACGTTGACCCTACGCCCTGTGCCTGCGACCCTCCCGCCCTTTAGACTCTCTGGTGCCATGGCAAATGCGCACCCAGTACTGCTGACCCCCTCGTACTAACATACTCGAAGACATAGACACCATCACCGACAGCGTGCCGCCAGCGCAAGAAGCATACAATGCGCAGATGTGGCTGAGTACTCCCACAAGCGTGCAGGCGGCCTCCCTCTTGCAAAAGGACATCCTGACTACAACCCTGCGCAGTCCTGCCCACCCATCCTCTCCAAAGCCTCCGCCCTCTTCTTCGAATCTTTTTCCAAGACGTGCTGATTACCTCCAAGTATCCTATCCCATCTCTCTGCACCCCAGTCCCTCCAAACCCAGTGCCATTGTCCGTCTTCAGCATACGCTGAGCAATTCAGGCACCCACTTCACTGATGCACAAGAGACTGTTCTTCGCGCTGCTCATAACACTCCTCCTCGAGCCAGCGGCCGCAGCCAGCCCAGCAATGGATGCTACCCTGCCGCTGGCTCCAATGGAGTCGACTTACCCCGACCCTGATGGCATCCTTGCTGGTATTTGTGGTCTTTGTAGCATGCCGCTCGACTGCTGTTCTCATGCTTTGGTACAGTTGTGTTCCTGTCTTTTCTGAGAATTAGTCACTTATGCTTCACCAGAATTCGCAGCCAATAATCACAGCCGACACGCTACTAAATCATCCCGAATGGCCTGCCAGCTCCCGGCTAGTGCTAGAGGACTCGCCTGAACCGCAGCCACAGCACCCACGTTCGCCGATGGATTCTTCCGAATCGGTGCCCTTATACAACGCATTTCTTCGGCGTCTAGAGTGTGATTCCACTTCCGTATCAAGACACACAATTGAGATCCATGTCCACCATACATATCTTCCCGGTGATCGCATTGCCCAGCAAGGTGAGAGACGGCCACATTCACAAAGGAGGCACCCGCCACGGACTGGCGGATTCCCATGCTCCTTTGAAGGCTGTGACAAGGCTTTCGATCGCAGGTGTGAACTCAAGTGAGTACCGATGCACTCCATTCGGCTTGTTGGGCGCTGACACTTGCAGTCGTCACCAGAAGATCCACCTTGATCGGTCTGAGCGGCCTCACAAGTGTCCCATATGCCATGAGGGGTTCTTATATCCCAAAGATCGCAACCGACATCAGCGAACCCATGACCCACTCGCTTCCCCTGGAGCGACCCTTTACTGCCACCTCCCTGGGTGTAATAATGTCGACGGCTTCTCGCGCCGTGATAACTTGCTGCGACACCAACGCAGGCAGCACCCGAATACGGTGATCAGCGCATAGAAAACCTAGGGCTCATCATCCTCGGGGGTTCTTGACCCGGCTGCCGGGCGTCGCGTTTGCTCCTCTTCCGTCTCGTTTTGCGACATGTTCCCGCTGTTCTAACACTCCTTTCTCCTTTCCGACGTGATGCATGGTGCCATCTTACACGCGTATTTACATTTGGGCCTATTCGTTAATACCCCTTTCTAGCATGGAAAAGTGTGCTGGCCTTTTGTTGAACTAATTTGGGTTTCATGCTCCATCAGTTTTCCGTTATGGCTCGCAACCCGTTCACTCTCGCACCGGTCAGTGATTGGCAAAATATCCCAGTTTCCTCTGCCAAGACAGATTGTTTATGGCGCCACAAGTGAGAAGGAGGCTGCCGTTTTATTTCTCTTGGGCTTTACATACCAGTTGTCTTTACGAGCTTGACTATACTGCTGGTAAGCCATTGCCATCACCGATTGTTGTGTACGCCAGAGGAATCACCAAAGAAGACATTTGTAAATTGTGCCCCTCGCGCGTAAACCATTGGTGCCTATTCGTCGCAGAGTGCCTCGTGACACACGAGATAGCATGCGCACCCTCTACGGCTGTGCAATATTGCAAGGTTTCTGAACTGCAGGATATCGAAGGCATCGGACGTAATGAACCTGTTCGACATTGCAACAGATGGCCATACCATCCGAAAGTCACAAGTGGTTTCGACTACCACTGAGAGAGCGAGGCAAGACGGTACCCGCCATCCTTAACGTATCTTGTACAAGCAAGGCTTCAGAACCTTTGCGTCGGCCTCGTCCCCGCCATCACCATCCCCATTCGCAGCCGCCACGGCAAGGAACTTCTTCCCCTTGATGCCCATTCGCATAGCTGTTGCCGAGTCACCTTTGTCCTTTGCTCGCTCCTTGGATACATCTACGTTCTTCCCTTTCGTCGGCGCCACTCCCTTGACGAACTGCATCTTGACGAACATTTTGTTGCTCAAATCCACCGCTTCAGACGGGCGCTCAGGTGGAGCATCCAACACAAACCCGCGAGATCGTAAGACGGCCACAAAGGCGCTTACATCTGTGCCTTCCTGCTGGGAATCCACGCCGTCCACCTGAGTCGCAAGTTCGGCTTCGTCGGCGGAATCTTCTGGGCCGTCTTGTCCGACCGCACTTTCCTTCTTGCCCTTTTTCTTTTTTCTGCCGTCTGTTCTTCGCAACGAGCCGATGGAATTGATGGGTGGTGCACCCCTGGCTCTTCCTACGCGGCCAAACCGTGACTTGATCTCACTGACCCAGAGTTCACCACGCCAGCGAAGGATACGCCAGGCTTCGTCGATGAAGTCAAGCCAGTTGGTGCCCATGAGCGCGAGGCAGAAGATAGCCACATCCACGCTGGCATCTGGTAGAGGCAGCGCTGAGATGTCCGCTATCGTGACCAGGTCTGCCGTGGGGCCCCTTGGCTTCGAGAGATCGAAAGAGTGTAGAGTGAGGTTGAGTGGCTTGAGGGAAGATTGAAGACGATACGAGAGCGACGCGGTACCACAGCCCAAATCTGCAATCGTGGAGTGGCCGCGCGAGTTCCGTGGCAAAGGCTTCAGACTTGACGGAGTGGCAGCGCCAGAATCTTCCTTGGATGCCTTTTCCCCCTTCATGTTTGTCTCTCGCCGCTTCTTGTCCTTCCACACGTTCTTCGTACGAATGTTCCCTCGCGAGAGAATGGCATCGACATACCCATCCACTGGGTTCTGCGGCCACACTTCGACTTGTTGCGCGAATCCCCGGTGGTAGTCTTCGAACATATCGGGGTTGTCTTTGAAAAGATCCAAGGATTCTTTCGATGGCTTCGTGTATAGCGACTCATTCAGATGTCGGAAGCGCGCACTTATCAACTTCGCTCGCATCGATTTTTGAAGAGGGGTCAGGGTTGGCGGCTCGGCGTTTAAAGGCGAAACGGTTGCAGTGGCAGGGGGTTGCGTCGTTGACTCGGCCATGTTGTCTGGGGTAGAAGCCGGCTGGTGGTTCTGCTTGCGCTTCTTCTTCTTCTCGCGCTTCGAGGGTACGTCCACGGAGCCCAGTTGTTCTTCTGGGACTGATTCCGGAGGACCCTCATATTGACTCCTACCATCACCAGCGCCTACCGGGCCCTTCCCATCACTCTTCCTCTTCCGTTTCTTGCCAGTCTTTTCTGACATCACTTCGGCGTTCGGTGCTGCCATATTCGATGTCTCGGATGCGTTCGTCCGGTGCATGTTGTCCTTTCCACCCACGACCCTCTCCCAATATTCTCCAACGTTCCCTGCGTCGATTTCAACCTGTTGTCGTTGCTCCCGTTTCTGTCTCCGCTTCTTGCTTTTCTTGCCCTCCGGAGGCCCATCTTTGGCCTTGGGCTTCTCAACCTGTGTGGTTAGGGTTGCAGACAGGTTCCAGCCCGGAACTGAGAACATTTCGAGATTGCGAATAGCAAAACTCTGGAGTAGATGGGTTTGCGCAGATACGCTGGCTGTTTCGCGTGGTGAGTTTCGCAGTTTCACTACCGAGATAAAAGTAGAAGCATGGAATTTCTGAGGTGGCTTAACGTTCCTCCGAGCGCCGAAGTCCAAAGTGTGGGGTTTGGTTAGCCGCCCCCTGCACCTAGCTAGCTATTAGGTAATACAATGTACTACGGTGGTGACGGAGTACAGTAATAATAGTCTCACGCTTTTCTGAAGGGAACAAACGGATAATAACCACACAGAAGGAATAGTATGTGCATATGTATACAGGAGTAGCAGCCACGTTTTCTGCATAGATCAGACGGCTGCAAGTTAGTCTAGTTCCCTTGTGCCACGCAACAAGTCTCGTGAGCTGTCGTTTTCCAGTCGCGATGTGGAATCGATAGAGATGAGGACTACATAAGCTTAAGGAACAAACCAGCAAAAGCGGACATTGACACGAAGGTCACATGAGTCAAGAAAATGACATCAATGGTGGCTTTGGATGGCAGACCGGGCTCTTGATGAGCACGGTGACATGTTTGATTCGTATCCCTTCACCAGCCTGAAGAAACGGATACCTGTAGCCGCGTGGCGCGGAGATGTGATGATGAAGACACAGGAAATGATCGGTCAACCTCAACTTGTCACCCCTTTATGGATATATATCGTGAGGGGATACTCGAAGTCAGGAGTACATCCCTTTTTCCCATGGGGCCCAACCCATGCGGAGAACCCAAGTCTATGAGTTCTCCAAAAGGAGGGTGGCCGCTAATTCGACGTTACCACCGGCTGCCTGCAGCGCTTGAATTACAGCCTCTCGAGCGAAGCCCAGGTTTGTGAGCTGTTCGATGTCGGCCGCCGGCAACGCATTCGCAGGGCCGGAGTGAGGTGAAGTCAATGACTCTGAGCCTGTCCTTGGGCCTGACGCACTGGATACTTCGGCCGGCGCTCTTGGATGTGAACCAGCCGGTCTTACAGTGCCTGAACGGGCTCCGATCTCAGTGCCATCCGGACCAGGAATGGTAGGTTCGTCCAGCTCAGCGTCCACCAGGGCCTTTGGTATGTCATGCTCCGCCAGGAAGGGCACCTCGATATTTTCGAAGCAAAGGGCGTTCTTCTCCAAATCGATCTTCATTTTGTACCGTCTAAGCATGTCCAGGCCGAACAGCAGTTCGACGTCCTTACCCTCCATGACGGTAAACGCGCAAGGCATGACGGCACCACCAATCCTGATCTCTGCATGGTGGACGCGGCCGAGGATACGGGCTGTCCCGACGCCCTTGGCAATGCCACCAAAGCGTGTATCCATCAATCTCATGATGCCGCACTTTTCAGCGGCGCTAGGGGACATGATGGTGCTCTGGGCGCCCGAATCGACGAATGCCTTGATTGGGTGCCCATTCACTTCGGCATTCACGTACAGCATGTGCACTTGGCTGAAGACTAAGTCTTGTGGTTAGCATCGGCAGAAATCGGGAAGCAGGGGCATACCGACACTCGGGATTGTGCTCGTACGCGTGCTGGAGATTCTCGGCGATGCGGTCGCGGCGGATCAAGTCCTCAATCTTCTGCTGTGCCTCGGGGTTGAAGGGGTCCTCATTCAAGAGAGCGTATTGGACATCGCGTTCGCGGTCGCGCTCCTGTTCCAAGCGCGCCATTTCCAAGTACTGGTTTCGCCAGCGGTCCCGGTCGTTGAGAGCGGCAAACAGCTCAGGTGACTGATGGCGAAGCGCCGCCTGGGCGCCGGGGTTGCTCAAGATGCTTTGTCTTATAGCTTCGGGGTCGGGTCGACCGACTGGGTTCGCGGTTGAGGTGCTGTTACTGCCTCCGCCGATCTGGTTTGGCGTCTCTCGGGACGGCCCTTGCGGCGGGCGGCGGATGAGCAGGGCGAGCATCTCACCATCCTTGATGCCGGCATCCTCGAGCGTATGCGCATCGTTTCCCAGGGCCTGACCATTGAGGAAGAATCGCTGGGTATCGACGGGGAAGGTGGTTTCGGCCTCGACGAAGGCCTTGAGATCCTTTACGGTGAGGCCCGGTGGCAGGTCCAAGGTCAGCAGGTCCTGATGATTCTCGGCGTCTCGGTTGGGGCCGCTGATGGATATGGTGACGCGTGGCCTACTCGAGCGAACGGTTAGCCGTCGGGCCCAGCTTGTCACACGGCAACGGTAGGCTGGGAGGGGAGGGGGAACTCACATGGTAGGTAGCGGATAGGAGGGAATGCGGGCTCCTTCCGGGGTTATGCAGCTGTTTCTGAATCGGTGTAAGACGGGGTAGTACACTGTACACTGTGCCCGGGGTGGAATGGAAACGGGGGTGCTTTGGGGAGCTTGGGAGCTTGCGGAGACTCAGGTGAAGCCCAAAGGGAGAGCCAGGCGCAACCAGGAGCAAAAGGGAGAGATTCCGTGGCAACCTTGAAAACGTTATGGTGGGTGCCTTGCTGGAAGGCGACGGGAGGAAGGGCGCAGTTAATAATCAATGGGCGAGGAGGGACGGCGGCATGGCGGGGGGAGTGAGAGAGCAGGCAGACAGCGTAGCGCTCGGTAGGTATCTATGCTTTCCTCTTCCTGGGTCCACGGGTTATTCCCTGAATAGGGAGGGTACAGGTGAGGTTAGGGAAGGGTGTTGTCCTGCGCGAGTTGCGTCCATGGATTAGATGACATCTCTGGAGTTCTGGAGGCATCGGGGCCCTCAAACGTGCTGCTGCCCAGCTGCCCAGGTGGACGACGCCCAGGGCGGGGTGAACGATGTCACGTGACTGTTAGCGATGCCAAGATTCTTAGGGCGGCTTGGCAATTGCTTGATTTGGATGCACGGGAGCATACTGTGACTTCTCGACTACTGCTAGACTACCGCTCCTTGCTCCGTATTCCAATATCCCCTCTATATATCTATATGCCGCGCGACGTCGAGTCGGAGAAAGCCACCATCGAGGGCCTGCCGCCGCTCTCAAAGGACGGTGACAGCCACGTTGCCACCTCCAGCTCCCCCGAAGCGGAACCTATGCCGCTGTACCGTATCCCCACCACCTTTCTCGACGAACGCTTCCGGAAAATGGCCCCTCTCCATCCCTATGTGCTGCTTCTCAACCAGGACGACCTGGACGACTGCGACTGGCTGGAGCACGTCGCCTTTGACCCCAACGAGGCCGCGTCGCGCGAGAAGGTACCGCGCATTCTGTCATTGCCCGTGTGCCGCCTTGAACCCACCCGTGCTTCCTTGCGCGCGGCGCAAATGCCCCAATACACCAGCCAAGCCCTGCGGTGCACTGCAAGATTGCATCCAACTCTCCTTTCCGATGCCGTGACCGTACCCGGCCAACATCTCTAAGCTGACTTTGTCAGGTCGAATATCGCCTCCACACCAGTGGCGAACTATGTAGCGGCATCTTCTCTTCCGCTTATCCCACGTCGCCGGAAAAGCTGGGGGAACTGGTCCGCAGTCGAGACTTTTCGCAAATAGATGCTACTGATTCCAATCGTAGACGCGTCCTGCTGGGCCACATAATAGCAACCAAACACTTCGCCCCCTTGGTCACCGATTCGTCCATGGACTATCCCAAGGACTGGCGCACCAACTACGAGCTCGCGCCGTCTTCAGGCACGGGCCATCACGAAGATGGTCAAACGGTTTGCCTTCACTCCCTCTGTGTCCATCCTGATTTCCAGGATTTAGGCTTGGGCCGTGTACTGCTGAACAGCTGGACCCAGAGGATCAAGGAATCCCGAACCGCCAAGAGGATCGCGCTGATTTGCAGAGAAAGATACATTTCATTCTATGAGCGTGCAGGCTTCCGTGAGGTCGGCGAAAGCAAATGTCAATATGGTGGGGGAGGCTGGTATGACATGGTGATGGAGTTCAGCGAGACTGGCTTCGAAAACGATGTGGAGGAATGAGAACGCTGCCTATCTGCATTTTTGAAGATTCTCCTATCTAGGATGGCCGAATCTGCTTGTCTCCTGGACTTCGTGGGGCAACTCTAGCCCAACGTCCCGCCTAATTGGCCATCTCGTTCACCACGTGCACCTTCAAGATCGACAGAATAGGGATTACAACCAACCCTGGTTGCGTTCCTTGACATTGAGTAGAACTCTCCCGCCTCACATCACCGACAGCGTGGATATTTGGGCTTCGTTCTTGATGCACATGGTATATGGGGGAAGGCGCGATTGGCGATACGTATACCGCCTTCCGCACGTCTCCATCATGATAATTGCCGCCCAGAGCTACATCGGGTCGGATATTGTGGTGGTACTACTTGCAGTTCTGGCGCCTGGTTCCGCTTTCGACTCTCTTGAACTTTCGCCAGCTAGTGACACTCGTGTAAACTTCGCTAAGATGAAGCTTGGAACACCTTCAATATCAGGTGGAATTCAAACATTCATCTACCTACCCCGCCAGTAGTAAATCGGCCAATCCTGTGCTTACCTTGGCCGTCAATTGGAATAGCTCTCGATAGTAGGTGCTGGAGTATCCCCGGCCGCACCGGTGACCCGCCATGCTGGTTCCATTCATTCCCGCGCCTCCTCGTTTGCGCCCTGCACATACATCACCTTGTAAGCTGTCATGTCGTACTCGCTGATCACCATGCGACCTCTTTCCGCTGACGGTGCTTGGGTTGTCGATCTCATTCACATTTGACATTAGAATCGAGGATGATATAGTATCTCGAGAGAGCCCCAAGTTTAGCGCTACCGACAAGATGACTGCTCTTTCATAGAACCGAATCGAGAGTCTGTGGAACATACAGACGGGCAGCAGTGAGCTCGAGAATCCGTTCATAACGATCTCGGCTCTCAAGCTCCAGGCCGAACACCTCCACGCAAGTCTCGTCGCGCGGACACCCGCCATATAAATCGAGAACGAGACCGTATACAAGCCAGAAACGAAAGTCGACGTCAGGGGATCAAGCATTGGAAGAGCTAACTCACATGCATGCTACACACGGTCCAGAAACGAGCGAGCTGCAAATACCGGCTCGCAAATATACCGAGTCTGCTAACATAAGCTTGTACTAGTTGGCCTCGTCCATACTCTCGAGGCTATTGCCAATGTCACAGTAACTTCCTCCCAGTGGTTATCATGTGCAGCAGCGTACATCGACCCTCCCGACCACCCACGTTACCGCATATCAGCTCCCTACACCTCGTATGCTCCTGGTTCGCTCCCTTTGCCTCAGTGCCCTTTCGCTGAGCCAAGAGGAACTCTCGACACTCGTCTCTCGCTGTTCCGTGTCCTGAATTGCCTTGACTCGACACGACCCGTGTTCCAGGGCACATAACGTCGGCTCCAATTCCCGGGTTTCCTGGATCGGCTAGTACCCTTATAACTTGTCCCTAGCTGGGAGTCCCAAGTTTTCCATCTTCCAGAGACAGTATACATTGTCCGACGACAACGCTCAAGCCCAAATCCTGGCGAAGAAATGCTGTACAATAGGACGGGAGGTATCGCTATGCAAAATTGTGGAGGCTGGGGAGGAAGAGTAGCTCCTCACTGTCAATGGCCGTCTTGATTCAGCCCGCGGCACCGGGGGTCGGAGAAACAGGCGCAGGAATCATGTTCGCGTGATTGCGTACCCATGGGGAATACACGCGCAGCGTGAGAGTTGATAATACTACGTCTTGCACACATGTGTGAAAATTTGGGGAATATGAGGACCGCAAGCTCGACTTAGGTGGACGCGGTGCACCCTACGCTTGGGAACAGCGAGGCGTATTACTACCGGAATCCTTCTCATTCCCGGATAAACAGACTTCGAAATCTGCCAACTGTCGATGAGTAGCGACAGAACGGTGTAGGTAGGTCTTGAATCTGACATTTCCGTCTTGTTGTTGGTGATTCGGATCCCTCAGGAGTCCGTAGAAGGATACATGCCAAGCTTTATTCACGGAGCGAGCCCAACCCTCACCTGAATACAATACTTGTCTCGCAAGAGAATCGTCCGCAGTATAACAGCATACGTCATCGACTCCATCAGTACGTGGGGCCGCGCTGCCAAATGCAGCCCGCTATCCGGGTAGTAGCCTCCAATGGGTATCATTGCATGGCGCTATCGACTATTAATTTTCTCTAAATGACAAATGCAGTCACCAAGCGCGCAACCGTTGGAGTGTGTACTTGCAATGCTTGGGGAAGATGTACGCTTATAATGCCGCTGAGATATTTAGGGTCTTCTTCTCATGCGTACCCTAGGGTAGACCATAGCCCCCTAACACAAGCAGCCGCTCGACCTATAGCTACAGGATCGATGGACTTCGACGGAATAGACGTGAAGTCGCATATAGTTCCAGGTCCCATTTGCCTGAATAGAAGGTGCACGGGGCCTATCTGGTCGCCTTGCGTACCCCGCAATTTGCGAGCGCAATATGGGTACCATACCCTATACTCCGTTCATACCATGGGGTATGTAGCGAAGGTAGCGTCCAGGCTGCGGTATTTATCATATGCAAGTAATCGTTTGGGCTAGAACCCTTTCTGCGACAAGGCTCGCTTTCCAACAAGACCAACGTCAAAGCGTTATGTTACTTTGCATACTTCGGATATTGCATGCGATATAGGATTAGTGTCGTAATGTACGGTTAAGAGTCCCTTTCTACTTGTAGCAAACTCTCACATTTTAGATGTTTCTTAGTCAAGCTTGCCTCCCCGCCGTGTTCGTAGAAAAGGTTTTATTAGTACTACGGATAAACTCTTGATATTATGTTCTCCTTACTCGTTGCATACGGTTACCAGGATGTTTCTGCACCCTTCCAACCGCATCCGTCACTCGCCTGACCAAGCCACCCGCGGTTAGTCCACTTGCCAGGCATACAAGTACAGAGGCTTAATATGTAGTAAGGAGGGTGGAGACCAGCATGCAGACCAGGGTACAGGCACCAACAGGGGAGAGTGCACTGAGATGTGCTCACATACGAAGTCACGGGGACTAAAATCATTAACCAGACAGTCCTGGAGGGAACAAGCCTCCGAAAAAACATATAATGCTGCCGAAGTACGTTTCCATTGCTAACCCGCCACAGTCTATTCGTTGCTTCCTTTCTTACGGAATCGTACCCGCAAGTCTTCTATTCATTCCACATAATGAAGTGCTTAGCATTCATTTCGACATGCGCATCTCTGTTGTCAGTGGCAACTGCTCATGGCGGCGTTGGCACATATACGATAGGGACAACCGCTTACAAAGGGTATGATAGGTCTAGATGTTACACTTACTCTTGTCCACGGAGGACTAAAACCTTCTTCTAGCTGGCAGCCATACAATTCCGCCTCCGGTCAGAAGTCTATTCAGCGACAGTACTCTACTTTTGATCCTCTTCTCATTGCCGACCTTAGCGTAACTCATACCGACATTTGGTGTCCGGATGGGGCTGATTTCACGTAGAAGGTGCAGATACGCTGCAATAACGCTGGTGCCCTTGGTACGGGGTTGTCTGCTACTATAGCGGCGGGAAGTACGATAAAAGCGACCTGGACACAGTGGACACATCGCCCGTCTGCTATTATGATTTACATGGCCAAATGCCCCAGCTCAGGGTGCAATAACTGGGACGGCGCTGGCAAAGTTTGGGTATGTCGTTGATCGGACCTCTAAGTCTTCCCTGACACTAACGCTCCACAAGTTCAAAATCGACCATCAAGGACTCGTCTCCGGAACACAAAATGCGGGAATATGGGCCGGTGATGCGATCGTGGATACGCTTAACTGGACAACTACCATCCCGGCGTCACTTGCCCCTGGGGAGTACCTTATTCGACATGAACTCCTCGCCCTGCACCAAAGGAACAACCCGCAGTGTGAGTCCGAATTCACCATGGTCAACCATACAATAACATGAAGCGGTATAATAACTGCGCCACAGTTTATCCCGAATGCGCCCAGCTTATCGTGACCGGTAGCGGGTCAGCTTCCCCACCCTCCTCATTCCTTGTGTCTTTTCCAGGCGCGTATTCGGCGACTGACCCCGGCGTGGCGTTCAATATTGATGGCGAGGCTGCTAAGACGGCAACGTCGTATCCCATCCCTGGACCCGCCGTTTGGGATGGCTCCAGCAATGCTCCGCAGCAACCTGAGCCTGAGCCGCAACCAACGCCAACGACGCTGCTGACGAGCGCAAAGCCAGAGCCCACCGAACCTAGCTGCGAGGTCGCTCGGTATGGCCAATGCGGAGGACTGACATATACTGGATGTACGGTTTGTGCTCCGGGCAGCACATGTAGAGCTAATGGGGATTATTATTCTCAATGTCTATAGAATGTATTAGTTTACGGTTTGGGATTTTCTATCAACAATATATACGTGTAGACTGAACGCGAGTCGAAAATCTATAGCGGATCCTTTGTTAACTGTATAGGCGAACAGTTACATGCATTTCAGCTAAACAACATAGCACTCGCTCCCGCATTAGTTAGTTACAGGAGAAATAATTCTGTTGCAATGCATCATGAAGTCGCGCAAAAACCCCGTCATGCCACGTTCTGAAATCATCCCACTCGTCTCTAGGCATTGTCGCCGACAGGAAAGTCAGCCATCCGCCCACGATAAAGTCGGCATAATTCGCCTCCTTTCCTTCAAGATACGGTCCTTCGTGCACCATAAACAACTGTGCCAGTGACGTGAGTGCTACCTTGAAAGCCGCTTTGATCTGCTCCCTTGCCTCGCCCCTAATACAGAGATCATCCCAGGAGCTGAGATGTGCGCGCTTGATCATCACAGCCTTCACCTCCTCGGCAGTGTCCGGGTTGAGAGGAAGGTACTGGCCAACAAGTACAACATGAGCAGACATAGTAGTGTCTACATGTTGATTGAACCTGGCGTAGGCCTTGTTTTTAGACCCCAGGTTCGAGGTTAGTGGCGCGAAGAATGCCGCGTCCTTGTTCGGGCTCTCATAGTCGAGTCCAGTGCTGGTGGTGTTCGTAGGGAAGAGGCAGCCGCCTGAGCTAGGGAACGTCTCCTCAAGATAATTGGCGATGTCGAATGAGTCCCCTAGGATTCTACCCGAGGTGGGATCTAACAACATAGGCAAGGTATAGTAGTCGGTCCCGTCGTCGAACTTCCGCACTGGTGGGCAGCAAAGGCCCTTCCGAACATCGGGAATATCGAGTATATCGACCCAGGTAGTCTTGAAAGGAACTTTCTTGAAGCTCAGCGCGAGACGTGCCTTGGAGGGATTAGGAGCGTATGAGCGAGGCTGTAAAGGCGAAGAGATGTCGTAGAGGACAAGGGGTTTAGAGTCGGTCATTGCGAAGGCGACGATGTCAACCGCGATTCCGGCTAGTATGCTAGAGCTAATGCCCCAAGGTGCGCGATGGCCTGTAGTATGCAAATACAAGGTTACGTCCGTTAGAGGCTGCAAGACAAGAGGGAGCGGTGCGGGGCCTACGCCAAGTAAGGCGGGGGTGCTGCTGTGAGGGCCTGCAGGTGTAAACTCAGTGCTGCACTAAACGAAGAATGCAAATACTAGCTTACGTCCGTTAGAGGCTGCAAAACAATAGAGTGCGGTGCGGGGCTTAGGCTAAGTGAGGGGCTGCTGTAAGGGCCTGCAGGTGTAAACATATGGTAGTAACGCTGTCTTGGGCCTCTTTTCCCTGTATAAACCCCGCCGCTTACTCTCCTCTACGGCCCAATTCGGTGTCACAGCAGAAATCCTACAGACCCTCTGTTTATTCGCACAGAAATAGATTTATAACCAAGGATGCAAGCTTACCCTAATACACGTTGAGCACTTATCACCCTGGCAGCAGAATCCTTCAATACAACGACCCTCAACGAAGTCTTGTATATATGCGGTGAGCGCAACAGTTCAATATAAAGCAACACGAATGATTGCTGTACGGCCGTACTGTATCATATATAAGAAAGACCTCCGTCCTGGCAGATAGCCACTGAATACAACAACCTCAGCGTCTTCTGATTCTTTCAACCTACCAAGTTCTTCAGTTCACGGCTCCTTGCCCAGATTTCACGATGCGCGTCTCTGTTGCAACTCCCTTGCTCTTCCTCCTTTCGCTCGTCCACTCCATTCCGGTTGACTCCGACGCTGTCCAAATGATACCCAGGGAAGAAACGGCCAATGATGAACCCGTGTTTGCACTTGGCACAATGGTCGTCACTGTCTTCAGCGGCGACACATGCAGTGGTTCCAACAGTCAATTCACTGTCACGAACGGTGGCTATCGATGTGTTGCCGTCAGCAATGCGAGATCTCTCTCGGTCTCGGGAAGGTACGAGGAGATCCAAGTCTTACCCATTCAGTTCACTTCTCTTTGGTGCCTCAGAGCTTTATCAACATTCGTTGGCGTGCGGTTTTGCTCATGACTGTACTCTCTATACAGCAACTGCTATGTCACTACCTGGAGCGGGACGGACTGCCGCGGCAGTTCGTATAATGTTCAGTATCAAGGTTGCCATGGGGTTTTGTTCGGTTCGGTAGAGGTGAGGTGCCTGTAGAGTCTTCGTGGCGTTCCAGCGGAAGGATATGGACATGGACTCGGGCACGCAGTATGAACGCGCGACCTTTGAGGCTTCATTACAGTTCTTGATATCACTGCTTGCGGGAGATGCTGGCTCTGCTTGTGTTCAGATAAGTGCTCGTGGCACTTGCGATTGTTATGCTTCGGTAGCAGAATACAAACAGGTTTTACCTGGCGTTGTTGGCTTGACGCATGCTGTACGGTAGCCCAATATGTGCTGACCAATACTTCCCCATTTTTTTAAACAATATCTCTCCGTCTTTTGCTTAGGTAGCGGTCTTATGTGATTTGGCTTAGGGGTCAGTACAAGTTCTTATTTCTAATCTACCTCCCTTTGTATATAGGGTGTCCCCCTCCCCCTAGTATAAAGGCAACAAGACGATTATCTAGTCGCCATCTCTTACCCATCTATTGACTGACACATCGTTGCTGTTTGATTGGCGATAGGGCGCAGTGTTAGCTAGGATAGGGGCAGTCTTTGTTCTTTGTGACGTGAGTGAAACTCTGAGGAATTATCCCGTGTACCGGGATTTACCATCCGCGCTCACTGTGGTTAGATCAAGCGCTCCAGATGAATTCATATTGCAGGCCAAGCGACTAAAACCAAATCTCCCCAGCCTAGGCGGTTGCAAAGACCATGTGCGCGTCTATTCTCAGCGAATGCTTTTATCGGCGTGAGCGAAACACTTCGTAATATCTTCGGAGAGCATCCTTCTTCCGGAAAGGTTCAGTTAGCATGCTAAACTAGAGAGATATAAAACAACCACGGCTCGAGCTTTTGTGCGAGCTACCCCCAGGCTCACTGTTGCGGCCTTCGAGCGTTGAAGAGATGCGCGCCTTGATTGCATTCACTGCGCTGGTGCTCACAAGCCATGCGGCAGCACAATTCGAGAAGAGAATCTACCAAGCCGAGCAAGCCGAGCTGAAAGGGGTAAAAGTTGGTACCTCAGTGCAAGGCTATACTGGTATTTGCTCAATCACTGTTGGAAGCTGCGATTGAGCTTATCCGCTGACCGGTTTTCAGGTCATGGATATGTGGAAGGGTTTGACGAAGCCTCGGATAGCATCATCTTCAGCGTGAACAGCACCTCCACTGAACTCTTCGACCTTGAGATTGTGTACAATGGACCATACGGAGACAAGTACACGACCGTGGTCCTAAACGGAGCTGGAGGCTCGCAAGTTCCGCTCCCTGCAACTACAGAGTGGAAGTCAGTGCCCGTAGGTCAAGTGCTTCTGAACGCCGGTATCAACACGATAGAGTTAGAAAACAATTGGGGCTGGTATCTTGTCGACGCCATTGGTCTCCAGGTCTCGAAGCAACGCGGGCCCCACCACATCACTACTATACCCGTCAACAAGAATGCAAACAGCGACGCCAAAGCACTGCTGGAATATCTCGGCAGCATCTATGGAAGAAATATCCTCTCGGGGCAACAGGATCAGGCTTCCTTGGACTGGGTGACCCAGAACGTTGGCAAGACACCAGCAATCCTGGGCCTGGATCTCATGGATTACACTGAATCCCGCAAGTCGCGCGGGGCATCTTCTACGGATGTTGACAAGGCTATCGCGTTTGCGAAAAGGGGCGGTATTGTGACGTTTTGTTGGCATTGGGGCTCTCCGGTGGGATTGAAGGATACCAATGACCAGTCATGGTACCGCGGATTTTACACCGATGCGACAGATTTCGACATCGAAAGTGCGCTCGTTGACACGACGAATGCTAACTACACGCTTTTGCTGAAAGACATTGACACCATTGCCGTGCAACTGAAGAAGTTGCAAGACGCAAGTGTGCCGGTCATCTGGCGACCACTCCACGAAGCGGAGGGGAAATGGTTCTGGTGGGGAGCCAAGGGACCCGAGCCGGCCAAAAAATTATGGAAGATAGTATATGATCGTCTGACGAACCTGCACGGATTGAACAATCTGATCTGGACGTGGAACTCGGTGGACCCAACTTGGTACCCTGGCGATGAAACTGTGGATGTTGTTAGTGCAGACACGTACTCTCTGGGGGATCACGGAGTAAGAGCATAGCAACATGTATCATCAGCCAATAGGGTTCTAACGTTACACAGCCGATAGCTGCAACCTACAATAGACTGCTGGCTCTTGCAAATGACACGAAGATTATTGCAGCAACGGAAGTTGGCTCAGTCATGGATCCCGTTCAACTCCAGGCATACGACGCAGATTGGGTTTATTTCTGTGTTTGGTCAGGTGACTTCATCAGCGGTGGTCGTTGGAATAGCTTGGAATTCCTGAAGGAGATTTACAACGACCCTTATGTGCTTACTTTGGACGAGATACAGGGATGGAAGGGGGTTAATACTCAATAAAATGGCAGGATAAGGGTCCAGGGCCGAGTGCCTTTCGCAGGTGTATACACATGATGCCCTGATTCACAATTGCTGGTAACTCTGACGTCCAGGTTGACGACCGAGTCACTATGGACTAGCTCGGTTTCCCAAGATGTATTTATGGACATGCAAAACTCGTTGTAACGCGGCAAGGAGAACTGCAAGCCCCGGTCCATTCTCTCCAACTAGTAGTACATGTATACGTACAGGCCACTATTTTGTCCCAAGTCCGCTGAATGGTGAGAGACGAGGCTTTAAGCAAGGCGGTTAGCCAACGTGTGGTAATGCATATACCGGAAATCCAACGCCAAGCGAACGCCGATCCGGGCCATAGTAACGTGTAAGACACTTGTTCATCTCGTCACGCTCGCTGTGACCCAACTTGTTCCATTCCCGCTAAGCCTTCCTCTTCTTGGAGGCATGGCCATTCTCGCTGCTCTTGGGCTTGAAGGATTCAGCATACACCTTGAAGAAGTCCTCGGGTTCCTGCGGGGAATTTCCGGTGACATTGACAAAAGCAGTCGTCGAAATGTAGTTGGTCTTGCCCTCACGAACCAGGCTGTAGTATTCGAGAAGGTACAGAAGCTCGCTCGGGTCACTCTCGCTCTGAGCCTTGAGAACCTTCCTCGCCTCAGCCTCGGATATGTCTTCAAACTTCATGTCGACACCGAGAGCTTGGGAGGCGGCAGCTGCCAGTTCACTGCCAGTGCAGAGCTTGGGACCGGTGAGTACCATGAGCTGACCACGGTGACGGTCGTCGAAACCGTTCTTGCCTTTGCCTGTGAGGACATGGGCTGCCACCTGGGCGATGTCGCCAAGTGCGACGGGGGCGAAGAGGTGGTTGGAACCAATGGGGAGGGGCAAGATTCCCTCCTTCTGGGCTTGCGGCGCGTAGGTGAGGAGATTCTCGGCATAGAAACCAGCACGGATGACGCAAGGGGAATGTCCCAGGGGGGTGGAGCCTTCCCCTTTGGCGCTCAAGACCAGTGTTTCCAGGTCGATGAACTGGCGAAGGTGAGGCTGCTTGTCGCGCTCGGCGAGGTCGCAACCGGCCGAGCTGATGAAGAGGACATTGGGGACATTTGCCTTTTTGGCAGCGTTGGCCAGCTCGACGGTGATGTCATACTTTTCCTTGTGGGCTGGTGGGATGAGACAGATGGTATCACAGCCAGACTGCTGCAGAGTGGTGACCATGTCCCGCATGCGCCCGGGCTTGTGGGGGATTACCTTGGCACCTGCGGTTCTCAATCAGACAAGCTCTGGCAGAAGGACGGATGCAAGGGGCGGGCGAATTCACGCACCCAATTGAGCCAGCTCCTTGGCCCTTCCGGAGGTGGGGTGGAGGGCCAGCACGCTGAGCGAGTCGACCTTGGTCTTGAACGTGTCGTCGGTGAGGATCAATTCGGCAATGAGGAAGCCGGTGTTGCCGTCGGCAGCGGTGATGCAGATGTTCCGGGTAGACATGGCTCGGGGGTGACTTAATCGACGTGGTGAATGTATTATGTGAATTTGAATCCGGGAATACGAAGAGGAGGAACCTATGTAGGTTGTGGAGAGCAGAGGGGAGCAGAGGGAAGTAGAGGGAATTTCGCTGCACAGCGACTATAAAAGCAAAACAAATGGTTGTGCCTTCGTCATCGTCACTCTGGGATCACGGTGACGTCACGTGCGACCCAGGGCCTCCATGGGCCGCTGGAGAACCCCTTTCTTTCTCTTGGCGGTAGACTAGATATCTGGACAGAGACGGAGACGAAGTCCAGACCTGGACGAGAGGACATGTGCCTTCTCGGGTTACAGTAAGTACGTATGGATATCGGAATACTTGCATACCCTAGGGTACTGCTACCAGTGACTACTAGTACCACTACTGCCCCACGACTTTGAACATTTATTACTGACTGTTGAATACACAGACACAGTAGATGGCGCGTAGGATGATTGATTGCTTAACCCGTGACGTACCGTTATGGTCGACATGTGATGGGACAAACTGATGTCGCTGCGGCTGGGCCGATGTTTGCGGTGGACATACAGTAGAACACCCTCAACAATAACGGCACCAGCGGACAACTTTGACCGTTTTCAGTTCAGCACAACAACCAAACCATGACTGTGGCAGCGGCAGTGGCAGTGGCGGGGACCGTGGTGAAGATGAAGCCACAAGGGGCTAGTACTACCGCCCATACTATGTACAGTCTTCCACCTCTACACAGTACTAGTATCGAGGGAGGTGAGGATAAAGTTGTGGGGCGGCAACGAGCTAACAGGAAAGGCTAACCGGAAACAGATAAGCGTGATTTGCTGGCCTTCCATACCTACCTGCTGTGTACTGTATAGGTGCCTACCTATCGACACCTCAGAAACAAACCCATGGAACAAGTGATTTTCTACCGACCATGCATACACAGTACTACTGTGGTATGTATAGCGGCACACAGCCATCCGCGATAGCTAGGCTACCGCTACCGCTTCCTCGCCGTAAACAGCACCATGTTCTTCGTCACTCGGAACACCCCCCCTTCCCTCTCCATCGCCTCTCCAACTTCCCTCTCTATGACCTCCTTCTGGCCCCGCTCCAAGCCCACCTCCCCCAAGCTACTCAAGTAGTCCACAACCGGCTGCACGTCCCCCACCTCGAAATGGCCCGGGAACCGTTCCTCAGTCACGTCCTTGAATCCATTTCGGACCAATGCCTCTTGCGCCGTCTCCGCCGTTATCCTCGCCTGTTTCCGTATGGTACTTGGCCTCCCCACCTTGTCTCCAAGGGCCAGCAGTTCGTCCAAGTGGTCCATGCCGTTCAGCGCAACGACGACAGTGCCATCGCGCTTGAGAACCCGCCAGAATTCGCCTAGGGCCGCGTCGGGCGAATCGACATGGTATAGCATGTGATTTGCGACCACCGTGTCGAACGTCTCGTCGTCGAAGGGCAGCTCCTCTGCGCTGGCCTGCTGCACATGGACCTTGACACCCTTGATTTCATTCGCAAGCTTCCGCAGCTCCACGCACATTGCCGGGGAGAAGTCGGTCAGGGCCAGATCCTTCGTCATGCCAGCCAACGGCGGCGACTCCCGCCAGAGTTGGCCAGTGCCCGCACCCGTTTCGAGAACGGAACCGCGTTTGGGAATGCGGCTCCCTGCCCAGCTAAACCAGCCCTCCGAGTGCGTGTTCCATGCATGGATGGCCAGGCGCGCCGCTAGCCGATCGCTGGTTGTCGTGTATTGGGAGGCCGCATGTTCGGACGGTTCTGCCGTGGTTTCGCTGGCCATGGTAACCTTTAGCCGCGCTTGCGCTTCGTCGTGTTGCGTAGGGTGTAGTGCCTAGGACCTAGGTGTGTATGGTGTATGGTAGCTCCTCCGCCGTGGAAGGAAACTCCAGTGTTAAACGGCGGTTCATATGGCCTAAGCTACTTAGCTACCCTATCTATACGCGAGGCCCGCCAGCTGGAAACCGCACAAGCAACCTCTCCGGTTGCGCGCATTTGAGGCAGTTTTTGATTCGCATCGCTCACTAGTAGCAAGCCTCCCTGTGGGATGCTTATCGGGATCCGAGAGTTGCGGCAACAGGTATGCGTGGTCGCATGGCTATTTGACCCCTAAATCTCGGGCGTACTATTCATCGTCTTGTCACAATAACTACTGGCATCCATGCAGTACTTGCAATCCACGCGGCTCAAAACACTACATGCATGGACTGGGTTTCCGTCGTGAGGACCACGCGGAAAGCGCTAAAGGCTAGCACCCTGCCTATCATTCTCCTCCTCTATATCATTCTGCTGCATTTCACGCCCGTCTACCCGATCCAATCTTCTGAATATCCACCAGAATAAAGCCGCGTTCGCACCCATCACCCCCGCGAGGACTGCATACAGCACAACCATGTTTGGGTCCTTGGCCGCTGGACTCACAGCCATTCCTAGCGCACTCGCCAGTCCGGCCGTCAATTGCGAGAACGCCATGACAATCGCCTTCATGCCGGTTGGTGCCTTGCGGTATGCGTACTCGAACGCCGTCACGAACCCTAGGATCTCTCCAATGGCGAGGAGAAAATAAGTGGGTATTTGGAGAAAGACGGATATGTTGTTGGGTTTTCCCGCTCCTGCTGAGCAGACGAGCGGACGCGAAAAGCAAGGTGACGAGGCGTAGATGGAGCGTTGCAGTACTGCTGCATACACCATTGACAACCCGCAAAAGACGAAAGCACTGACCAAGCGTGCGATGGGACCAAGCTCTATGAGATTCCGGGCGAGGACGGAATACAGCCATTGGATAAGAGGTCCGAAGATGATGCAGGCGACGCCGGAGAAGGCCTGAGGAAGGTCGTTGGGGATGCCGGAAAGGCGCATAGAGCCGGCTTGAGATACCAGGTTGTTATACATCTGAGAAACGACAAGGTAGAAGAAAAGGAGGCAAAATCTATCAACTGTCGTCAGGATTCGGGATAGGCGAGTAGAGGATGACGGGGAACTCACATAACACGGCAGGCAACAAGGCCTTGCTTGATTTCTTCCACAAACTCGTCGGTCCACGGTACGATGCGCCGAGATCTTGCTTCTTGGTATGCTGGTTTGGCGTGATCTAACCTTAGCCCGCTCCTCATTGAACAAACCAGCACTCTGCTTGCTTGGGGCAGCATGTTCCCCTGTGGTTCAAGCTTGATAAACCATCCACCCCAAAGTAAGAACAGCATGATGCTTACGACCAGAGCTCCTGTTGCGAGTAGATATGCTTGCCAAAATCCGTATCTGTGTTCCAGGTATGTGACGGGAATGGATGCAAGACTTGCGATGTTGGTAAACCCGTTTGTCTGTCAGTAAAGCTTGGTGGGATAGCGTACTCGGTGGGAGCTTACCAATAGTACGCATTGTAAACAAACTGCAACGTCCGTTCTCGACTAACAACCACCAATCGCCCTTTGATCTTCTCTACCCTTTCTGCTTCCTTCCCACAGTGTACTATCTGGTCTCCCAAGAAGGGCGCGTAGCAAGCCTTTATGCTTCCCGCTCCCAATGCCACAAATGCCATTGAAACGACGAGCCCGGGCAGGCCTGCCTCTCTTTCAAGGCTTCTGGGCGTGCTAGTTGCCGTAATCACAACGCACCCAACCAAGTAACACGCTAGCCCCAACATGAGCGTCTTATACCGGCCTAGTTTCGAATCACTCAGAACCGCAAAGAACATGGGCGTCAAAAAGGATATCAGGAAAAAAGCGTTGGACATGTTTGTTGCCATTGCTTGCCCTAGGCCCAGAGCCCCTGGGAGGCTATTGTAACGGACGTCGATACTGTTTGGCTTTGTGTGCTTGCGTGGATGTTGCATGTAGTTCTGCCATGGCGCAATCAGGCCGAAGTAGGCAAAACGCTCAAAGGCTCCCGCGAAGATGACCGCCCATGCTGCGAAGGGAATGCGATCCACGACTTTTGGAAGGCTGGGTAGGGCTTCGGGACTTGTGTTATTTGGAGAAGGGTGGCGAGCCTCGTCGTATCTGCAAAACGATTGTTCTGATGTCACGGATCTTGTAATGAGTACTGGAGTACTGCCCAGTCCATCTTTGCTGTCGCTGTTAAGACACTGTAGGATACATGATATCGGTATACATACTCATCTATTCCAGAAGCGTTCTCATGAGGAGTTTTCTCCATCTTCAGTTGAGCTTGACGGGGGAGTTGCATATTTGCGAAGGTTGAACGCGAATCTCCCTCAATAAGGCGGTTTTGTTCTCGACAGTTGTTACAAATGCGGCTCCTAGCCGTTCATAAGGTCCCCACCGTCGCAAATTGCATTGTACCATCCGATGCCTCGTAGCGACTTTCTTTGGGGCCATGTGATCTGTCAAAGGGGGTTTCATTAGCAGCCACATCACCTATCATTCGAAGAACAGAAACCTGCTCAAAGGTTCTCAACCCCGCTTCTGCGGCGGATACGCATGCCAGGTGGATCCAGCCTAAGTGCACGAACAGGAGACTGGGGAAGTGTACTCGTCACCTAACCTACTGGGGTCAGGAAAACGCGTGGGGCAAATCTGCCACTCTGCATCACAGCGGTACGACGCATCGAAGTGGGACCCACCCGAATACCGCAAGCACGAATGGGAGTTGTGAGAATAGCACTTCCCGAAGAGCCTTCGAAAGTTTACACTGGCCTCACTGAAACAAGCTTGGAAGCTCGTGTGCCGGCGATTCTACCAGCTGAAAGCCTCAACATCAAGTTCCCACACGACATCCTTTTCCTTCCGCCTGCCCCTCCTCGCAACACTATCCCTCACTGCATCACATAGCCCTCCTGGACCACAAACCACCACGCCAATCCTGTCCCACCCGGCGGCCCCCTCCTTGTCCAGCAAGCCTTCGACATTCAATCTTGACCCAACAATCACCTCACACTCTCTCATACTTTTCAAGACGCAGCCGAGGTCGGTAACAAGGCCTTCAGCTTCGCTCTTCACACTCCAATGAAGCTTCACGTTTGGATGATGGGCGAGGTAAGGGAGAACTGCCGTGATACCTATACCGCCAGCAATTAAAAGCAGACGGTCTGTCTTCAGAACCCCAGATGTTGAGTTGTTTGGATAAGGCCCGTCAAGGAAGGTGAGTAATGAAGCGTCAGACTTCAGGGCCTTCGTTAGACCCGCCGACTTCCGCACATAGAGCGAAATACCACTGGTGGTAATGTGCTTCGATTCCCGTCCAGATATAGCCGTGGTAGACACACCGGTCTTTTCAATGTCTTCATGCTGCGAGTGTTGGGATCCTGCGGATGAAGAATGCGAGCTTGCTCCCATGAGGCTGTGGTCGCGGGAGGTGAGTAGGGCCGTAGGGATGATGGAGAATGGGTGGTTCTCCCAAGGTCGTAGCGGGTTCAGAGTGGGGAAGTAGGCGTATGTGTGCTTCCCCGGGGAAGCGTCCCATCGCACATCTTTGATATCGATCCTCACGATGTTTGTGCTGACATCGCGCACCTCAGCTCTCCTGGCACCGTTCTTGAGCAGGCGCAGAACGCGCATGAGGCGGTCCGCGAACCAAACTGCGCATGCTGCATAGATCCAGAACTCGTATCCCCACTTACGGCTGAAAAGAAACTCGACGTGGTACCACGAGCCGACAAGGACGAACACCGCCAGAATGATGTGTAATATCAGGAAAACCTCGTAGCTCAATCGGCGAAGATATAAAGTCGAGGCCACGACCATGATAACAACGGCGAGAGTTGCAACGATACCCCATATCCAATATGGCGCTACTTGTTCAGTGGCTAGTTCGCCTCTGGCTCTGTAGAGGTGCAACTCCGTGATAGAGTGAAGTATCACCTGGAGGGCAAATATGCGCGCGACCCATCGATGCAGCAACATATAGGTCGAATGGCTCCAGTTGGTAAGCCAAAGGAGGATGTTGTTGCGCCCGGAGAGTAATATGACGAGTGGCGCGAGGGCAAAGGCAAGGACACCAGTGCGCGCTGAGACATAGCCCATAATTTCTTCCCATTGACTGGCAAACCACTTGTTCGGTTGATAGGATCGGTAGCCCGCTGCTGTCAGGATGACGTTCAAGATCACGAACATGAGGATGTACCAGGTTTGTCCCATCGTTGGAGCGTTTCCAAGTTGGAAGGGAAGGGCGCGGACATGGTACGTGCCGACAATAGAAGGATACACGAATCGAGGCTTGAGCCAGTCGAGCAGAGTCGTCATGAAAGGGAGATAACCGAGCACACTGAAGAAGATTGGTGTGCCAAATCCGACTACCAGCAGAATGATGCTGGGAAGTGGTTAGTTCGCCGTCTTTGAAGTTGTCGGCCTTCCTACTCACCCGTATCGCGAATGGATCGTCTCCGCATATTCGAAATGGAACAGCGTGCCCCTGTACTGCTCCCAGGAAGCCTCATTATACCTTGCGGTGAAATTCAGCAGTGGCATCTCCTCTTCCATGTCCAACTCCCGGGTGGGCTCGCCATTCTTTGCTAGTTCCACCAAGGTCTCTGCGTATGTCCACTTCGGCTGCACGTTGGGGTCTCCAGTGCATTCGTCTGCCCAGTATTCCTCCAGTCTCCACGGTGCCACATCTGCACATTTCGAGTTGATGCAATAAGCAAGAGTGGTGAGCCATGGGGTATCGTTCGCGCGGCAATCGGGAGGCGTAGGTCCTGTGCCATGATTGTGTGCTCCATGTGCGTGTTCATCAGTCGAGCAAATGAGCATGGCGCTTTCAAACGAGCTGCGACATGCGAATGCGCAATTGGGTTTGTACATTTGAATGCCATAGCCGATGAGTGCGAAAGATCTGCCTGCAAAGGCCAGAGCAAGTAGCCCCAAATTTGTAGAATCCTTCATGTTTCCCGGACAATGGACCACGAAACAGTCGTACGGGGGAGTACCAAAGTACGGCTCGAAGGCCAGAGCTTCGGAATTTGGAAGGTTATCCGGTAGGTACAGCTGTTGATTAAAGTAGAAGATCAAAGTAGTCCGGAGCACAAACGTCCAACACGGTCAACGTAACACATGTGCCATCAACAGGAACAAATTCACTCGACGTCTGGCTCCGGGTGGCGCCTTCCGCGGTGTCTGGGCGGGATACATGCTCAAGAAATCTTACAGATGCAAAACATGCTCAAACAATAATGGCCGCCAAGCGGAGAGGAAATATAAAACCTTGTAGGACAAGCCGCGAAATTTAATCCGCCGGAGGGCATCCCCATGGTCTGGGACCACAACTCCCGCAAACTTGCGCACCTGCAGCTGCAGAATGGTCAGTAACCAGTTGTGAATTCACCCGCAAGGGATGTGAGCCGGCTTGGCGGGCTCTGTGCTGTGTAACACCCCTGTGCAAGTACATAGTAATTGCGACCCCATATTATTGAACTGTTAGGCCATCCCAACCGTAACAGAAGATAGCAGCATGAGCAGGTAGCTTTGATTGGGAGGAAACTTGCTCATCCTTCACGGCTCCTCGACCTCGTACTCAAAATGCCGCTGGATGTACTCCACGCGCTCGAGCAATTCCTGGCGGGACGTCCTGCTCACAACGGAGAAGTACGCGATCCACCACAGCGAGCTCGCGTCTGGACCCTCGAGCACATCACCACCCTTTTTCCTCGTGTAGTAGTCCACCACATGCTCCCTCATGTGTGGATGCTTCTCTAGAAACTCCTTGGCCGCGTCACCGGTTTTCATGATACCCGCTCGAGTTTGTTGTATGATCATAAGGGAGAGATGGAATTGAGGACCTCCCTGAAAGGGCTGCGAAAGCGCGCGCAGCCGTGGGATCTCTGGAGAGCCGAGCGCGAGCAGCATACGGAGTGCGTAATAATCCACCCCGTGGGCGAGCAGGACGGCGACCGATTCCAGATAGCCCGGCGGCCGGGCATTTATCTCGTGAAGATACACTGCCACCTCTTGACTCTCCGCAATTTTGGGCTTGGGGACTAGGTCAACGATCCCGCTGGTTGTTGACCCATACCCAACTGTCGCGTTTCTCACCCTCGCCTCACAGTGGAACACCCCTGACCTAAAGCCCTGTCTAAGGATACTACTTTTGAGGTGGGTGCGAATAGCATCTTGTTCAGCCTTGGGCAGACCCGAAGGTATGACATTCTGTGTTTCTTGAAAGTTTGCCTTGAGACCGGCGCCCTCCTGGTCTGCCGGACTAGGAAAGTCGTCGTTGATGTCCAGGAAGAGGATTTCGCCATTCAGCAGCACGAAGTTGGCATCAACCTCGGGACCATCGATATAAGGTTCAACTACGACGGTAGTGCTTGGTTTTGGTGCTTGCGCGTGCCGGTTTGACGCTTTGCGAACGGCGGATTTCAGTTCTGCTACATCCTTAACCTTAGACACACAGTCGCTGCTCCACCCCACAACTGGCTTCACCACGAGCGGGAAACGAAGAGGGTGCTCGCGGCGCTCAAGGTAAGGTCCAAGGTCGTCGGCGTGAGTGAGGACAAAACTTTCGTCAGATCCAACTGGCTCCAGGAGTCTTGTTCGGCCCTTGTCTCCAGCTATTTCGTACGCCTCAACGCTTTCGGTTGGCAAGCCTAGCATAACGCAAGCCCTTGCAATGGCTGGAAGTCGAACGTCGCTGATAGTGACAATTCCATCGATTTGCTCCGGATAACTCTTCACGGCGTCAGCTATACGAGTGGCGAGACCTGAGTCCGGCGAGATATCCACAGCAACGAATGCTTCCCGAAGATGTGCCCAGGGAGACTGTGGATCTTGGAGCCAGTGTCCAGGCTCGTCCAGAACAACCAGCTTGATTCCAAGGGCAACTGCGGCTTTCAACGCGCGTTCTATGCAATCAATGTCCTCGCGACCCTGCACCCAGGCGATGCGCCGGCTGATGATCGGTTCGGCTTGAAGGAAGGGGAGGCTGAAGCGGTTTTGCAACTCTGTTTCAACATCGTGTGATATGGCGCCATCTTTTACGACCAGAGCGCCAATAGCGTCGGGTAACAGGAGTCGAAACAAGGTGGCACGATCTGGGATATCGACTTGCTTCACCTTTTGAAGAGGATCAAGGAATGAGAAGACGCGAAGTATGTCTGGCCAGCAATCCAGTCGATATTGCAGTAAATCACTCCGAATAACGTAGCCGCTTTCCGATGAAAATAAGATGCGGACTTCCACCGGGGCGGCAGCGCAACTGCGTACGCTCAATTCGTTGATAGAGAGCAAAACCCTGTGGATAGGTGATTGCACGTCGAATGAGATGGACTGGGAATCATAGCGCCCTGCAAATGTGTTCGGACGTCCGCTACCGTTGTGTACCAGAATCTTCAACGACCATAGCGAGGCTGACGATGTAGAGATGGGAAAGGGTGGCCAGCAAAGCTCGAAGTGCCCTAGCAAAAAGAAGAGATCGGTCAGTTCCGCGACTCTCAAGTGGCCGCACATTGCATGAGGAGTAGGGAAGCCCTTGCACACTTACCGCATATATGTGTGCCATGAACGAAATAGAACTGAGTAATTTTCTCTTCCATCTCCAGTCTGAAAATCTTCAACAGTCTCTTCAAGTGACAAGGCGAAGAGAACGTGCGGGAAGCGTAGTAATGGCCGAGTCATCCACCGTGTGAGCTCCTAACTGCATAAGAGGGCCGCGTGCCGACAATCTAGGGTCTGAGGCTACTTCGGGACACTCGGTGAAACTCGGTAGTGCACATGGAGTACGTGCCCAGTAGGTTTGTACCCTGCCTCGGATTAGGGAGTAAAAGACAGTATCGCTAAATCATTGTTTCATGCACCCCGGCGTGTCGGACCCATGGGCGTCGAGATAAATCGGCCAGGACGGGTCGCTACCGTGCGCAGGTTTGAGAAAATTGTGTAATTGTGGCTTTCGGTATTGAGAGCCTGCCACGATTAGTGCAAGTTGCGATGATCTACTTGCGCACTGTTAGATAACCGTGAAACAATATCACGGAATTCTCCATCATCTAGACAACGTTAGCAATCTTGCTCAAGCTTGGCAAAAAGTATAGCATCTGGGGATAGGCGATGCTGTGATAAATGGGATGGAGATTTGCAAGAGGAACGTGCAGCTTCGAAGCCGAAGGACACCTCTCGAAAGGTCTGAGACTAAGATCCTTTGCATCCACTCCCTTATTCGTGTAACTCGGCACATTATTGCAGCCAGTCATGCCCTCGAATCCCTTGAATGTGTTCAGGGGACCCGATTCTCTAGCGCAGTTCCTTGATCCAGATAGCAGCCCACCTCTTCCACTTGTAGAGCTTCCAGGCGCACTTAATCCTCTGCGAAGGAAGGGAGTCCGCATATATGCTAAGCTCCTCACGCAGCTTCCCGCACAGAATGTTAAGTCATTACCAGGTTTGTGTATACCGTTGTTGCTGAATGCATATGGACAGCTCGACTGACAACCGGATCAATAGCGTTGAACATGCTTCAGAATGAGCACAATGCTCAACACCAGCGGATTGTGGAGGCCAGTTCGGGATCCACTGTGCTGTCTCAAGCCATGATCGCTCGAGCGCTGTGGAACCATGAAGACGTGCATGCCTTTGTGACAAATAAGAAGCATCCTGACTCACTGAAGCTTCTGAGATTCTTTGGGATCAAAGTGTGAGCCAGCCGGGATCGTGAGTTTTCAAGGCGCTGACAACTGACATAGAAATCTCTATGGTGGCCTGGCACAGCAAGAGCCATATGACCCCAAAGGCATAATGGCACGCCTGAGGAGATTAGCAGAAACGGACAGCACTGTTTGCTACCCTGGTCAATACCATAACGACTGTGTAAGTGAGAGGAGCGCATTGCAGGTGTGCATTGTTTACCGAGACACACAGAACTGGAAATCCCATGAACAGTGGACAGGAGCTCAGATCTGGAAACAGTTACCAGAGGTTCGAGTATTTGCCTCTACCGTGGGAACTGGAGGTGAGCGATACTAGTCAGGATTACAACACTATGCTTACTTCCAATCCAGGTTGCGCTGTGGGCACAGGGTCGTATCTGAAGTCGAGGAACCCGGCTGTGCAAGTGGTCGGGTACGTCGCATGAGGTTTTCCATTTCCCCTTTAATGCAGCGCTGAACTAACAAAGGGTGTGCAACGTATTTGGGGATCCAACTCCAGGCCCGCGACATTTTCCCAACTTCGAAAGCTCGCCATTTCCGTGGAGACAAACGATTGATCATTTCGAAAGCGTAGCGTCTGTCGACTCTTACCGGACTTCGATGAAACTTTCTCGATATGGCCTGATCGCTGGTCCATCGTCCGGAGAGGCTCTGCATGGTCTCCTGGTGTATCTAGAAAAGACCAGTGCGAACAATGGTTTGGACAACCTCAGAGATCCAGCAACGGGAGAGATACACTGTGTCTTTGTTTGCGCGGACCTGCCGTATCAGTACATGGATATGTACTATAGGAAGCTACCTGCCGAAGAGTTTCCACCAATCCAAAACGAAGTGAGTGACAACTTCAGTCATATGAATTCTCCACCAACATGTCTCCCTTAGGAACTACTCGATTGCGATCAAGATCCGTACGACGAGCGATACTTCTTGGTTCCCGAGACGGCAGAGCAATTCTTGACAAGAGCAGGATATGACATGGAAGATTTGCTATGTTCCAGGCCATCACCGTGCCTCTGCCGGACGCTGCCGGGCGAAATTCCAGACTTCTCATCCGGCTCTTGTTCTCTCATAAGCGACTCATCGTCCTGCGACTCGTCTGCGGTTTCCCACTCGGTTTTCTCGACACCCCAGAGTCCGGCAGGCCATGATTCAGAGCTTCAGGATTTCATGGTATTAGATCTCCGCCCTGACTCCATCTTCGGAACCTCGCATCTACGCCATTCGTATAATTTCCCCCTCCCAATGATAAAGGACGATTTATTCGGGGACGCGAAGGCGGTGCAACAGCGTTGGATGCAGCTAAATGGCCTGTTCAACGAAGAGTCTTGGTTATGGACGAATAAACGGGAAATGCTCGTGCTATGCGGGGATGGCGATTCCAGTCGTATGGCCACTGCCATGCTCCGAGCGAAGGGATGCGAAGCATACTGTGTGGAGGGAGGATTCCCCGCGCTGGAACTCACCTACGTGCGGATGATTGATGCTAGAAAGACAGCGGAAGAACCAGCCGAGCAAACCTAATCAGCCGAATCGCTATCCCCATTGGAATCTTTCTTCATCAACCCTCGTCCCTTCCTGCCAACATCTCTCGATCCAGCCAAGCCCAACCGTCCTAGCCAGCCCACCGACTTGCACCTCTTCGTGTTTGGCCTTTGAAGCCTCCCCTTGTGGAACCACAACATGCGTAGCACCTTTTTCCTTCGCGGCAACTATACCGCCCGCAAACCTGATATAGTTCTGTCCTATCCTTGATTTCACGACCCAATCCTGGTCAAGATCATCCCCAGGTGCAAAATACACCCGCATATTGGAAAACATGCAGTTCTTTAGCTCAAAGACCGAGGATCCGTGGTCCTCCAGCTGTTTGAGGAACTCGTCCCGGTCGAATTTCTGCTTCTCCACGACTCTTGCCACCTCTATATGTTTGAATAAGGTTCGTAGCTCGGCAACATCTTCGATGTCCCTCGCGTACGAATCTCCGTACTCGTCAACATTATTTTCGTACTTCTCTTGATCCGCTTCCAGAAGGTAAAACATGTGTCTGTTTGCTTCAAATGGGAGTATGAACGGCACAGGGCTCGCATCCGCTTCTGACTGCCGGATACAATCTTGAATCCAAATGGGCCTGACGATGTTTTGAGTACCGCGTTTTTCAAGTGAGGAAACCTTTACAAGGCATTTATCCGCCACGATGATGAGGTTCTCATCTGCTGACCCTCGCTGCACAACCTTACCACCATGGGATTTGACGAGCGATTCTAGTTCCGCTTTTGTCATCCTGTTTGGTTGGACTTGCTCTGTCATGATGTAGAAACTCAAACCTTCGAAAAGTGAACCCTGAGGCCCCGCATAAGGGGTCCCGAACTTAGCGTCCAAGCCAACAACGACAAGGGGTTTCTTTCTCGAGGTGCGAGCCTTTTTGCGGCGTTGTTCAACCTTGAACTCCTTCTCTTTCTCCGTGTGCTCCCGCTCAGCAGTATCTTTCAGCTCCATGAACTCAGATATGGACAAGGCATCAGACCATCGTTTATCGGTTCGCAGTTGCTTAAAACGAGGAAAACGCAAGGTGATGCTCATTCTGAATTTGTCGCTTGCCTCTACACTGGCGGCCTTGCATTCTAGCACCACTGAATCGCTCGGTCGAATCCACTGGTCGGGCCTCTCATACTGACGATTCTCAGTATGCCCGCCTAACTCGATAATGGCTGGAGGTCGCTTCGTATCCCAGTCCTTCCATTTGCCCTGTGTGCGGCCCCGGATCGCCGCATAATCTTCTCGACTGAATCCGCCGCCAACCTTGAAGAAGGAGTAACATTTCTCATACTCTGGGTCATCTTCTTTTGCATTTTTGTTTACGAGGAGGCCGCAGAGGAAACTTGAGTGCGCGCCGCCACGGTGGCCTGAACCGAAGTATCCGCCAATGACGACACAATCCAGGGATTCACCAAATTCGCTCATGTATTCGGGCTTCACTTTTGCCCAATCTTCATTGCGTTCGTTGAGACGATAGCTCGAGCGAGGATTCTTCAGGACAAGACCTTCAGATGCGTCGGCAACGACTTTGCGCAACTCAGGCTCGACTTCCGTGTGAGCATGCGCTTCGATGTACGGATGGATCTCCAATCGTCGATGGACACCTTTGACGGCAGTTTGTAGGGCGTTACGGCGGTCCCGCAGGGTGAAGGGTGTGAGGACCTTGTCGTTGAGATAGAGACAATCGAAGACGCGGAAGAGCGGGCGTTGCCCAGTATTGGTCCCTGTGACATTTTCTTTCTCAGAAATGGCTGCCGTCTTCAAGGTCCCGAACCCTACGATACGGTCAACATCCATATCCCATGTAATCATCTCGCCATCAAGGATGATGTTGTGCACATTAGGATGGAAGGCGTCGGCTATGAACCGGGTTAGGGCGCCTGCCTCAGCGCCCTCTAGATGCTTTCCGTATAGATATGCGTAGTCTTTGGCCTTGCGGGACCAGAATCCAAAAAGTTTACCTCCAGGAGCACTTGGATCCTCGATCATGTGAAGCTGCATTCGCTCTCCATCCAACTTCTCCTCAATCCAGAAGGAGTCGTCGTCTGGGCTCTGGAGCTTCGCAACCATCTTGTCGATGGTGCCAATCTTGTTCTGAAACGCAGCCAACTGCGGCTGGAAACATTGCATGAGGGTAATGCCGGTCTCCTCGCCTTCCAACCGAACCTTTCGATCATAGAGCTCCCAGCAGACTCGGCGTAGGTTCGAGGAGATGTTGAAAAGGGCCTCTGCATCCGGGTGCCATATATCGAGGAATGTCTTCTCAGTAGCGCCAATCTTCATCTGACGCAGAATGATGCGAATCAACCAGGTCAGCTCTTCAGGGTTCATGCGCCGATAGAACCTGCGGAAAATGCCGTACTGCTGCTCCTCAGACCCAGTCTGAGACAGCTGGTCCAACATTTGATTCACCTCAGCGATACTCATGTCTCCCACCTCCGTTTTCAGTGGTCTTTTGGACAGGACCTCGTAGCATCGGCCAGCGAAATCTCCGGCTGTGGTTAATGAGGCTTGGCGTAGCTGCCCGGGAAGCTTCCAATTGACCATGCTCTTTGCATCGTCGGAATCCTTATTGATTTTGGTTACTCGAATCAGTAGCTTGGCAATGGCCTTCTCTTTGAGGCCATACATGGCGCGATCGCGGTCCTTTTCCGGGATTATCAGTCGCATAGCAGGGTAGAAGTCGTTGCCGACCTTCTTTCGCCAGTTTGCAATGAAGCGCTCTATGATGTTCCGGCGGGCTTCGTGAGGGGAGAGGTTAGAGTGTCCGTGGGGGCCCTGCTTTCTCCGCGCGGCTGCCGGTCGATTCTTCTTGGAGGATTCCAGCATAGGGTTGAAGAGCTCGGTGAATAGCGAATGGAAGGGGAGCGTCTTGTGACGGTTGTGCGGGCGATTGGGGTACTTGGAGTCAAGCTCTTCAACATCCTCGCCGTACATGAGGCGCTCCTCCCTGACAGCGTCCTCGTCTGCCATGTCGACGTCTTGCGGCATGATATCGGATTGGAATAGCGCAAAGGTGGTTTGTCCAGCTGAAGTAGATGGTGGATGGGGGGGAGGAAGGGAGAGCAGGCAGAATCGCGATCCGCTCAGGTGCAGGTGGCGCGTCGATGACCGACGCGAGTTCACGTGATGTTTAACGTCAGCGACCGGCTCGTGCACGGGACCGGCTTGTGCACGATTTCGGGATGTTCCACCATCTACAAACTTGAGGCTGTACAGGCCATATATATATCAAAATCACCAGATTTTTTAGTATAACAATTAGAGAGGCTTATTATATTATTTAGAAATAATATATAACTATATTTCCTGGCGGAAGCGGCTAGGTAGCCATATCTTGCGTGTGTATATCTGTCAGATGGTAAGCCAGTTTATGGACATCCCATCTAGGACTGAAGAGGAGGACTGGGAGAAACTGTCTGTACCGGTACTGTCTGAGGATATGTGGCTAGTGATTTTGCAGTGGCTAGTGCCTTGCACAGCCTTGGTACCCAGAGAAGGAATATCAAAACTAGTGTCAGGCCTCAGCCTCACCTACACAAGCACACATCTGAATACAATCAGTCAACCCATCTTCAATCAATCTTTCTATCACCGTGACATCTTCAGATACCATCAAATCTGACAATTAAGAGTCTCA